CTACGTTAGTTTAAAATCCCACAAACTTATGGCGTAGCCTAAAGTTGAGTAAATAAATTTCTTTTTAAATTCTAAGTTTTCTTAATTCAATCGTATGAAAAAAAATGTACTCATCGTTTGTAAAATATAGCCTTTTCTTATCGTCTTTGTAAATCGAACCTTGGTAAATTAATAAAAAGAATAATGGTATTGGGGACATTTGATCATTGGTAAGTAGCATCTAGCCCAATGTAACGAATTCTAGTGTTATTTTGTGTGTCACTATTTTGAAGTTTTGTTCCTTTATAGACTCAGGTTATATGACCATCTTGCCTGAAAGACTGTTGACTAAGAGTATTTTGAAAACTGTATAGATCAGCGCTATCGGTTTTTGTAATTTTAGTGATAAAACGATACTATTTAAGTTTATCACTTCCACTTTTTAGACAACTACATATAGATATGAATAACTCTGCAACAATTATTACTCGTCAAACTGGAACATTTCGTTCAAACTGTATTGATTGCTTGGACAGAACAAATGTGATCCAATCTATGCTTAGTTGGTGTGCATTAGAACAAGCAATGATTGAGATTGGTATATTGCAAGGTACAGTTTCTCGAACAGCCGATGCTAGTACTACATCACCTCTATCTCATTTGTGGCCAGGTTTTGGATTTCGTTTTAAATCGATTTGGGCTAACAATGCAGATTACTGTTCTCTTCAATATGCAGGTACACCAGCCTTGAAAACAGATTTCACTAGAACAGGTAAATTTTGTTTTAGAGCAAATAAGACTTACAAGGTTTGAATTCATATTGACTTTGAAGTAAGTGTTCATTCAAGTAATATATGGGTACTTATGTAATTTAAAAGTGTTTTTTATTTTTAACTGATGTGTTGAAGAACCATTAGTGGTTATAGCTTACGAAACAGTTGTTCTTAGTGCTACTATGTACTCAGTGGTTTCTCAGTAGAAGCGGTTGTCTAGTGGTTAAAACACACTTTCCACTATTAATTAAAAATGGAGTGAGATGTTGAACATCGTCATCTCAATGAAATTGATTTTCACAGCCGCACCATAGTACTTTAACTAAACTCACCTAACATTTGTACCAAGTATAACCCGAATACGAATACATTACTCTGACTTTAGGTAAGGAATACATTTCTTAGAGATCTCTTTTTAAAACATTCTTGATGGCAAATATAGAGGGAAATGGCGACTTTGAGCAACGCTATTTAACAATTACTAGTTTGAAACAAAGGTTATAAGTGGTTCCGTGCCCATATTCGACCTTAGGCGTTTCATGTTCTCTTTCCAAGATGCTAGTAAGCTTCTGGGAATACTTCCCTCTAATACAAAATTGCAGAAAATACTCCTGTCCAATAAATCGAAGACAGACTTAGTGTTAAAGATTATTATCACTGTTGGTCAGTGTTCAGGCAGCTGGCGCAATGTAAGGATACTACTAGGACATCTACACCCTATCTGGTGCTTACGAGTCAATTCCATGCAAGAATTGCTTCATTACAGATTGATGAAACCTGCAATTTGTCATTGTTTTTAAACAACGTACTAGAATGTAATCCTCATCCTTAAAATTGTGAGTTTGAGTCTACTTAACTGAACGTTTTGTAACTATGGTAAATAAAATTCCTTTCGTACTTCTGCTTTAATTATATCATATTAAGCTAAACAAATGATGTAACAACAGAATAAATGGCGATTGAACTTCACATCAATTAGTCAGTGAGTAGTCACTGATTTCATGGCTAGTCTATAGCGCTGGTCGAATTATTTGAGTCAAGTTCGGATGAGGCGATCATGTGAATAGTTCAGTAATAAGATTTTCGACTGTGATACCGAGCGACATGATTCCAACCCTATAAAGGATTATCAGTTCTCTCAATATTTTTTTTGTAGTTAAGTTCTACTTTGCACAAAAACTAGGTCGATGACTAGCTACTATTTGTCTCCAGTCACATAATATCAATATCCATAAAATTTATTCGCTATTTAAGATTTTTTTCTTTAAAAAAAATAGGTAAAAGAACATTATATGGTATACTGATGGATGGTTATTATTCAATAATTCGTTATTATTTAAATAATTTCAACGATGGCTTCCGTCAAGATTCAATGCATTTACTTCTTGGCCAATATAAAGTAATGGATGTTAATGGGAATCTTAAGCCATTACATGGACCAGGTGGACCTCCTAGACGTCGCCTAAAAAATTCTGATTCTGAATGGTTTACACAGTTTCTACCACTGGTATTTAGTTTTACCTTAGCTATGTCTGTATTGTGTTGTATCTTTCCTACAGGTAGGCGTTTAACATACTCTGTATTTGATAATTATAATAATGTTGGGTTAAACTATGATTTACGGACGACCTTTGAGCGATGTTTAAGTAACCTTGATAATGTCCACCTACTTGAGTTTAATGAGGGTTGTGAATTGATGTGAGGAATTAGGATTCGCAGTTGGGCGTTAGGATTAGTCTTCATCACGAACTGGAATCATATATAATGCCAAGATGCTATTTAGCCATATGGACGAGTGAATTTCGCGCCAAAATCCAAGATCTGGTGTCTTAAACCTGATTGGTCCATCCGTAAATTACAGTCTCGCCTAGTTTTGCTGTGTAACTGGTTGGAATTTCACACTACATTACATGCTATCCATGCAGTGACATAACAATAACAGAACTGTATAGTTGAGTAATTACAAAATCAACTTTTAAGATTTTTCTGCACTAGTTATTTTCAACAGTCAAGTTCAATTTCTCATGCACTGACCATAGTAAGTTAATACCAGATGAATTGTCTTACAGTATGTAGGTAGATAGGTTGACCATGAGATGGACGTACGAATGATGACCGTGGCCAGGTGAATAATGCCCTTACTCATTATGAGTCATTGTATTTGACTTATCATTCAGCCTTAAGATATAATGTGACCTGGTTTCCTTGCTTAATCAATACTGTGTTCAAATCTCTGTGGTAACAATGACCTTTTAATAAATAGTAACTTCCGGCTGATAAATTCCATACTTGAAAAGAAACTTTATTACTCCCTACATCCCGTTTTATCCAAGGTTTACATCAGTGCAGTTATGGCGATGACTGGGCACCCTCATCTGTTGAACTACAGGTTGATAATATTTCACAGCACTTCTAGCTGTTCACACTCTGTAGATGTTCTCAGGTTTACAATTTCATATGGTTATTGAAATAATTTTAAGAATCATCGGTGTATTTAAAAGCAGAGGTGTTACATTGAGTCTGAATTATTGTAAGCGGCGTGAGATATTGTGAATATTAGATAGGATAGTTAAGAACCAATTTGTTTAAATAGTTTACAGTTTTTTTAACTTTTGTCAATTGTTAAAACATGTATTTAAATAACATGTTTAGCTCCTCACCGCAGTTAACAATAGCCCTAATGAGTTGGTTAATTTCAGCTTTCTTTGTGTACATATATGAGGTATGGCAACGTAAACCTATGCATACTTACTTCAGGTCTTGTATTGCCTGTGATGGACTATCTAACCTGAAACAATGTTAATTCTGTAAAGGTTGTATTTCGTACAAAATTTTCGAAAAAAATCCATCCTATAGTTCCTTATTTGGTTTATATCTATTTTCAGCTCATTGGACAGAGAAAGCAACTTACGTACTATTCTGGGGTGGAGCTTCAGTTCTTTCTGCTTTAGCAATATTTGCCTACGGTGATGATTTTGTTGACCATCCTCGATTTTGTCCAGACTAAAGAGGATTTTCCAAATCAATTCTTACGATAAAACCCATGAATCCGTAATAATTTCGTTTATTGAAGAATGTAATGCTTGCTCGATAAAACTAAATATTGACAAACATCTTTGTTTGGTCGACTAACAAGGACATATCTTTTCTGTCTTCTTTCTTTCTTGTGCTAAAAAGGAATCTTTTTATAACTGTGACAACTTTGCTCATTATATTAGTAGTGATTACAATGTCTTTCTTCTGGGTGCTTTCTTTTTCTCTTCATATTTCGAGTTAAGTTTGATCTCGTGAAATATTTCGAATGCTTAAACTAATCAAATCATTGCCATCTGAACCAATCCACCTTTAAAATGTCACAAAATTGTACAAAATTTTCGTTGCTTTTTCAGCGGCTGTTTCAGTACGTAAGTGTGAAAACCTGCCTCGATCATCAATCCTCATAAAAATTAATGAATAGCAGACTTTTCACTGTCTAAATAATTGATTCTAGTGTACCATTGCAACTTCCTTGTAGTTAAATGAAGAAGTAAGATTGTCTTTCTACTGGAACCGGTAAAAAACATGTCGGTTGTCCGAGGCTCTTTAGTGTAGCATCAAGATCATGAGATATAAGCCGTGTCTGCAATGCTACGTGGAGAACTGTTCGTAATGTCTAGAATAACACTTAAATCGTGGATCTCAATAGTAGTTAAACAAGTAGTGTAACTTGTTTTTAATGTTGCTTACTCTAAATTGGATATCCCGAAGCTCTTTGGAAGCTAGTGTTAAAGAATTCGATAAGAAACAGTTACCCAAATATAACGCCAGTAGGTTGCGCTGTACAATGAATTGGATGCAGTCAGATTATGAGCCGATGGATGGTTCGTACCAGCTACCGATCTTAGGCAAAATGCCATAGATCGCCAGTGCATACTTCTAAGGAGTGCTGAAGCAGTTCGAAAAATCTAAAGCATTCGCTTTAAAAGTTCTTTGACTGAGACCAGCCTATGATAAACTGCACAATCGTGAGCTCATTGTTGACTCAAGTCGCGGTAATATATATCATAAATATTCATGAAAAGTATGCGATAGGGCCCCGCTTGGTGACCATTGAAATACTAATTATCCATACTAGTTGGTCCGTATCATTCTCATTAGATTCGCTTACCGAATTATGGGTTTGTATAGTAGGCTTTGAGTTATACTGTTTGTGTGAAAGCTAAACAGCTTAAACGTTAACCGATCACCTCCACATAGACAATAATATTTGAAAGGTTGCACGATAACTGTATTTGATGACAGTGCTCATTTTATTTGTTTATATATACTGAATCAAAAATATCCATATATTCACAATTATATGTTGATTTCATGTAAGAAATTACTTTCCAGATTCGTAAAAATAATCAAATTAGGTAAAGAATTTCACATTCAGAAAAAGGGAAGTATGCAACATTGAAATCCTTTTAATTATGATAGACACAAAGTGTAGTTGAAAAAAATGAAGGAAGCTAATAATTTTAATATTTTTCAGAAACGAGCAACATGCACTTCGCAATCGAATTACAGAGTGGATAAAGTGTTTTGAAATTCCTAGTCCCAACTGCACCAACGACAGTTACTACTAGTTGGCTGAACTGTCTGTGTGATTTTTTGATAGAGGATAATTGATGATAAAAGGGAATATTTTTCATTTTACAAATAATAATTGATGATTTTTTATTCAGAAAAAAATTACGCAGAGAGAGAGGGTAATAACAGAATTATTCTTAACACAAATCTCAATCAAAAAAATAAATCAGGATATTAACAATTTGAAATAAAATATTACATAAGAAAAGGAGAAAACCAAACACAAATCATTGTATTCATTTTATTTATATTTATACGAGCCTGTTTGTTTAGATATATCATTGTATATTTACTTCTGTTGTTATTGTCGGTGTTAAAGGCATGCTGTAAAACAAGAGGATATAAATATATATACTGATTCTGACAAATGATGGTCGATATTTATGGACGAAGTCGAACTCGTGTCTATAAAATAAGTCCTCATAAGCAGACCAGTAACTAACGCGTAGTTCATTTAGTTTTATTGACAATTCGACTTTTTAAGAGCTATTATTATGATTTATTTGATATTTTAAAAATCACTAAGTAATACACTTGCTATTTTACAGGCTAATCATTCAATGGAATTTACCAACTAGATGTAGTTGTGCAATCGATTAGAAATTTTAACATCGAAGTACCAGACCATCTACATTCAATTCATCAACTAAAATTAACCGTATAAGGTCGTATAAATGTATGTAGACAACGTTCTTTCTTTTCACAGTTGATGAATCCTTTCAGTAATAAATCATAATGTCAATACAAAAAGATCTCATTGGGAACCAACTTGCAGTTTAATCGTCTTTGTATGGTGGAAATAGTAATAATGGTAAACAGTGTTCATTACTTTTTGGTGGAGTTTTGTTCTCTGAGCTGGATGGTTTGGTCGTGGAGCTTTCATCGTTCTTCTGAACGACATCATCAGCACAAACTTCAGATAGAAGTGAAGTGTTCGAATTTCCCCATATGTGTTTCACAGCTTGTTCTGTGCACCTCGATGTTGATTGGTTCTTGTTGACCTTAAATTTATCATTGTTTACTTCTTTGTTTTGGTTGTGTCTCCCATTGGTTTGATTTTTGTTCCTATATTTATGCATGATTTTCCTGATTGGTTGATAAATTGGATTGATTTCAATATGTTTGTTGATTGCTGATTGACCTGAGTGCCAAGCTTCTAAAAATTCTCTGGTGTTTTTGGAGTTTCCTCTGTCTAAGATTTCTACATTTTCCCAATCGAATGAATGTCCGTAGTTATCCACGTGTATTGATATAAGTGAAGAGATATCATGGCGTTTGACTGCTAATTGATGTTCATGTAGGCGTAGGTGGAGGGGGCGTCCGCAGTCAAACGCCATGATATCTCTTCACTTATATCAATACACGTGGATAACTACGGACATTCATTCGATTGGGAAAATGTAGAAATCTTAGACAGAGGAAACTCCAAAAACACCAGAGAATTTTTAGAAGCTTGGCACTCAGGTCAATCAGCAATCAACAAACATATTGAAATCAATCCAATTTATCAACCAATCAGGAAAATCATGCATAAATATAGGAACAAAAATCAAACCAATGGGAGACACAACCAAAACAAAGAAGTAAACAATGATAAATTTAAGGTCAACAAGAACCAATCAACATCGAGGTGCACAGAACAAGCTGTGAAACACATATGGGGAAATTCGAACACTTCACTTCTATCTGAAGTTTGTGCTGATGATGTCGTTCAGAAGAACGATGAAAGCTCCACGACCAAACCATCCAGCTCAGAGAACAAAACTCCACCAAAATCATCCACCTGAGCTACAAATCTTCTCCGCCATCTCAGTGTTCATTACTTTTCAGTACTACTTCTATATTCACATTTCGATTGTTATATTAGTGCATATTGCTAATAATCGGTATTATCCATAATTAAAAAAGGTTATATCTGTGTTTAAAATACTAACTAACCTTTGTTATTCATAATCCCATTGTTATTATAGACATGTTGATTATTCTGAATAGAAAATTTACGATTTATATTCATCAATGGACGATTGCACATAACGCCATCATCGTCAGGTGGCGGTGTTGAAAGTGATGATATCGATTCAACACATGATGAATGTTGTCCATTATTTTTGTTGGTAGTAGTACTAGCATTTTCGCATATCACGTGGATCGCATCATCTACAAACAGATTTTTATTCGGCAAGCGATGTATGACATCATCGCTTGGTTCAAGAGTCAATTCATAGCGGTGATTATGTAATGATGGTGAATTTGGATGTAGCTCCTCATCTGAATGAGGGTGCCCAACTCCTCCATTTTGTTGGAATTTACTCACTACTTTTGAATGAATAAAATTAAAGCATCGAAAAGCAGAAAATAAATCATAACACGTGAAAATAAGGTTCACATAATAAATGACTAATTTCCACGTGCGATAAACTATAATCTAGAAGCATATGTGTAGATTATATAAAGTCAATAAAAGAACTAATAGTGGTCAAGGATAACTTGTGATTGAAATTTTCTTAATATAGCGTTATTGAGAACCCAAATGCATATTCTTGTACATGACTTAAAGCTAAATACGTTTAAAAAGAAGCCCGGTCATTCAAAATAAATTTCATAAACTTGATTTCTCATTTTCAACAACGTAATGAAAAATCGGGTGCCATGAATCAGATACACAAAAATGAAGTTGTATTTTGTCAGTCTCTTAAATTGTAATAATTTATAATCCATTACTAAATACATAATTGATAAAATGCGGGTAAGGTGGGTCAAACAAGTAAGAACGAAAACATTTTTTGTGAATGACCCAGTATATTTTGACTCAATAGAATCGATACACAGAAGGTAGGTGACAATCATTACAATAAAATACATTTCATTATATAACTCTCAAATATACTAACCCTACAATTGACCAAAGTCATTGAAAGTACACGAATTTTCGACCAGTCAGTCAGTCATATGAATACAGTGGTCTTGGGTGCTGTTAGAGGTATGAGGGCGGTTATCACTTCCCGGTTGCCCACACCGTGGAAGGGTTGTTCTGGAGGTACCTGAAAAGGAAATTGGATTAAAGGTGGTCTTAGTGACCTGAGAGCGTGACCGCAGTGCCCAAGGGACAACTGCTTGAGGCCGGTCGCGCACGGCCTTTTCGTAGGAGGTTTTTGACGTGTTAGCTCCGTTCTTCAAAGGGCCTTACCGCCGGAGACGGAAATCCGTGAGGTAAGGTGAGGTGTGCATTTTTAGGGTCGACCTTTTCTAACCCCACCCCTCCTTGTGGGAAGGCAGCATCGCTGTCATGCTGGTTGTCTGAAGGAAACACCTTACTGCTGTCACACCTCTGTACAGTCAGCAGTACGACTTCGCCTTCGGACCTTGGGTTTGTTGCTTTTAGTCTTACCGCTCTTCAACCGACCTGTCTGACATGGTAGGACCTTGAGGAACGGTTGTTCCAGCCAGTATAGCTCGGTTGCTTCATCACGATAGGCAAGCCCGACCACCACGTCAAGGTAGCAACAACGGTCGGGAATTTTCGACCAATGAGTCTAATGACCCACCATATATTAATAAGATGCAGAAAATGAAGATTCAGTATACTTGAGCAGTCGGAAAAATTAAGAAGCAACAACTTGCATTATATGTTTCAATTACATCTCATCAATACTTTCAAAAGACACCAAGTAGCGTTAGTCGATCAGAAAGATTCAAATCTGAAAATTACATAACCACTTGTTGTTTATTGTTTTGAATGTTGTCTGGATATCTGGAAGCACAATTTTTACCTAGTTTGGCAGTAGCTAAAAATCAAAGAGATTTGTGTATAAGCTTGCAGATGCAAGCGTTGCTGACAAACAGAGAAAATTAAATTAGAACAGTCTCAATGTCCGAAATATTACACGTCGTAGATCATCATACTGTAGCAAGAAATCAACAAGAGTGAAGGAGTAACAAAATCGGCGTCAACAGCAAAGAGAAGAACAACTCTTAAAAAGACTAAAGTCTGTATCAAGATGAAGAGTAGATTAATGTGCAGGTTCCCTACTCGAACATCATCGGTTGAGTCAAAGGTAAATCTTAATCAGAATTGCCAACATTAAGTGGTGTTTACTAAGGTTGCTCACTACCCCCTTTTTCATTTAAATTAGTAATAAATGACATAGAAATAACACCCCAACAAATTTTCCCAAGGCTGATAGTCTATCAGGTCCACAAATGGACCATAGATATGTCGAAATGGAGATTTCTGATCGCCTTGAGCAGCAATGAATGTATGTTCGTGTCAGGATGAGTTTCTTTCCCTCGGAATTACAGATTGGTTTGTATTAACACAACCTAATGATAGTGAGTAAAGTAGCTAAGTATGTTGATCAATTCACTCATCTTGGAAGTTTCATTAACCATGATGGACTGACGTCTGGCGAAATCTGTGCACAGATTCAGAAGGCTCAGTTGGTCTTTGCCGACGTGCGTTAAAGATATCTGTATGTTAACACAAGTCCAATTGGCTTTCCATTACTGTATAACTGTGAAACAGTTTATGAAATTAGAAGATAAACGTATACTGAAGGCTTTGACCATAGGGTCACGAAAACAAACTCAAGTTCGTGGAATAGCTTACTTCTATATAAGGTAAGTGCTGATGATGTTGGGAATGGCAATGAAAACTTTTCAATCAAACAATCTACATTAGAGAATTGGACGCCACCAAAATCATTTATCTAAGCTTGAAACTTTCTCCGTCATTTAAAACTCAAATATTTTAACGAACAAAATCATTAAAATAAAATACTGAAATAGGACTTACTGGGTGATTTGAATTCGAATGGTAAAGGAGTAGTAGTATCAGATACCATGTGATTTTTCGGATTTCCCATATCAATACTACTAATGCTATGTTGACAATTAGAAGTATTACCGTTGGTTAGATGTAAATTTGTTAAAGATATAGTAAGTTGTGCATTATTTTCTAGGTTTTTATTTGAATTCTTTTCTTCAATTTTAGCATCACTTTCTTGTTTACCAAATGAACTGAACAATGGTAAACTATGATAACTAATAATTGTTAAACAACAGGGATTTTGTTCGTAAGTCAACTGAGAATTTATTGAACGTGTAATCCAATCATTTTCAATTGTACATAGTATATCATCAGCAGAATGATTATCTTGACGTAAAGAAAGTAACAGTTTATCATCTAGACCCAGAATACGATCACCAATCTGAATATCGGTTCTAGAAGCGCATGAATTCGGCTCAATACGAACAACAACTGGTCCACTAACACCCGGGCCACTAACTAAACGTAAACCTAAATGAATATTTGATATATGACTAGAATTGGTGTTATTGTTAGTATTAACTGGTGCAGCTGGTAAATAAATCTGTCGTACAAAAAATCCTCCACTGCCTCTTCCAGCTAATTCTAAAGCCTTTTCAATTTCTTCTTCATTTAAAGGTGTCATATTCAACATTGAATCAATTTGGTCTTGTTGATTGCTTGAATTAATTGCACAATAAGTAGATTCAGGTAACCGATAATGATTATCATTCTCACGATGTCCAAATCTAATTTTATTATTTTTACTTTCATCATCTTCATCTTGTAGTTCAGGCAAAGTGCACATATCTCTTAAAAAGCTTGGTGTTTCAATACATGGCATAATACCACCAAATAATGTCGGTAGTTCTAGTGACGGAGGTGGATAAGGTGGGAACATATCATGTTCATCTTGCTGAATTCGATGAGATGGAGATAATGAAGAAGTGACCGGTGGTGGAGAAGGCTTAAAGCACTTATCTGATATAGCATTATTGTTAGCAGATAATGGTGCGTTGAAATACGGTAAACGACCTAATTCAATTGTACAATACAGTAGATTAGCTAATAGCTGGACCACTTCGGTTGGGTTCAACCAATCTACCGGTTCACGATCTATACTTAACAGGCGATCACCCGGCTAGATAAGCAAAAGAAAAGATTAATAAACATTTGGAAACTCCACGGTATGGAATAAAATGTTTTCGTGGCAGGAAGTATCTATAAAATTGGGATATTTTCGTTAATTCCTTCAAGTTGAAATATCTCTGCTTTACCATTTATTTCAACATACTCAAATTGTCACTATTTCTATCAATATGAGTATGACTAGAATTCCCAATATTAAAATTATTAGATTTATAAAAACAAAACAGAAATCTAATTGATAATAACACTATTTGCTTGTCTCAGATAATAACGAGATATATACCTGAGTTTCCTTATGATGCTGACTCAGTCGTAATAAGTTGATTAGAATATTTACTTCTTGAAGTCCTACTTTGTCAGTGAGGTATGTTACATATCTATTTGTTAGCGGGACATATATTAAAACATGTTCCGTGCATGATTGTGTCGGTGCACGCTAACTGGCTAATTCGTATCCAATCAGCGCCAATCGACAGTTGAAGAACACTCTAGAATCTTCTCATGTAAAAACTATAAATATACTAACGTTTTTTTCTTATTGTGCTTCTTACTTCCATCTACCCTTGTTATTTGAAATATAATTTCCTTCCTGTTCAATGGTGTTCTGATTTGGGGACTTGTCGAGTGAATTGATGTCCAAGAATACTAAGCAATAGGAATAGCTGGGTTGTAATCAGAAAAAATTATAACACTATTAAACTAAAAGTAATTACTGTTACTATGTAAACAATTCACAGTCCATTGACAGTTCAGAGGTGAAGTTGTACTGTTAGTTGAATAGGAAAGTAAGGACTGTTAAACAATAGCAGTTTGATACTTTGAATTATCCAACGGTTTCTTTATGATGCAATACCTATTTATTCGACAATGTATATCTCAAAAAATAACTATGAATACAATTGTACGGTTTTAACGAACGACAGTGTCGACATGCTCAAACTTCTCTGGAAGATTTACTGCAGTCAAATATATGATATTGAATAAAGCGATTAATATCATCAAAATTATTTAAAACAGAGCATTTTTTAACCATCCTAGTTTTAATGTACATTAGTAAAACAGAAGAGAAGCAAGAAACGACTACTTACCATTATCATTCCTAATCGATCTGCTGGACTGTCATGTTGAATACTATCTACGATTAGTCGAATGTGTGAGTCCCATAATTCTTGTGAACTCGCATAACGAATACGCAAACCAAATGCAGCTGAAGCAATTTCATCATTGTTATTATTACCGTCATCACCACTAATCTTCTGATCGCTGTTTACGGTAATACAGTTGGTTGATGATTTTAAATCGTGTAATTCATTTTCATCAGTTTTTTGACAGACAGAATCAACAAGGATATCAGGATCATTAGAATAAGGTTTTCCCGCCTGAGGACGATCATTACAAAAGCCAAATTGACGACGTTCAAGTACAACCACATAGACATTTAATCGATTTCGAGGATAGGCTATGAGATAAAATGCAGATATACGGATATACTCATATTTCTCGTTATGGGATCATCGTATACAGGATGCAAATACAACGGTATTATAACGAGATTTTAAAAACAACGAGTGATGAACGCATTCACACATGCTCTAAACAATAGGATGACTCATATCTACCGTAACACAAACGTCTAAATATCAATTCGGAAATTCCAAACAAATACACGCCAGCAAAACTATTTAGTAATACATGTATATACATACGTGAATCAGTACATAGTTTAGGAATTATATTAAAGTATAAGTGATTAAAAGAACAGGAGAAAAAGATTTCCAGTGCAGTCATATAGAAACATTTGTACATTATTGCATCACATATCAGTTAAATTTTTTAGATAAGTTGGTAATAATACTTGTGTTTACATAAGAGAGATCAGGAAAGTTAAAGAAAACTTGAGAAAGGAGTTAAAATAAATCGTCCACAATAAATTTTATAAAATAACAAATATAACACATGAAATAAGAGGGAACACTTCATTATGAGCAAATGAGTGAGGCATAAATGTTAACTGTAAAAATAAAATTTCGTACTACATGCGCAGAAAAACAAAGTCAATCGCACTATCTGAATATTTTGTGTATATAACTGTCGTTTTTGATTTAGATTATGTGGTTCAGTTGTAAAAAAAATTTATGTAGTTTTCATCATTTTCATTCCTCCTATTATGTTAACCATTCATTCGATTCTCCACTTGCTTCTGTGAGGCATATGTCCATTTGTTTTTTGTAAAGATTATTTCACATCAAATGATTAACTATATACAATGAAATAAGTGGGGACTGGATAAGTAGGCAGGCAGACAAATAAGCTAAAACTAACGGCCTACATATAGCGATAATAAATGACAATGAGGAACACATACGGAGAGAAAAAACATTAAATTGGATGATAGTAACGAGAACAACAACAATGCATTTCATAGAATAAAATATGCAAACAGATGCATTGGATAGTATGGTGCAAAAAGAATGAACACAAAGGTCCGATCAAAGGGATAACGAAATGAAGCAAGATAAATATGAAGATTATATGTAATACGTAGTCGTTATCATCACAAACAACAACAATACCGAAAACAACGAAAATAATAATTTCGACACAGAGGAGCAACGCAACAGCAGTTCGAGAAAAAAATAAATAAAAGAAGAGAGGGGATAAAACAATTTTTGTTTGCTAGCAGTAGACAATTATGATAAAAAGCGAAATAATTATTCAGATAAAGATGAGACGTAGTGAACTTTGGTGTTTACTAGTAAAGTCACAGGTTAGAAAAAGGCTAGCGAGTGTTGTCAGATAATCAAGTTATTCACCGTTAGACTAACAGTGCTGGGAAGCGAGAGCTTCTTGATTGGTACGTGTGTGGTAATCATCAGGTAACATGTTTAATAATCATTTGTAGGGGAACAGAAGTATTCTTAAGTTATAATATATAGCTTTCCACAACCATAATTCTTAGTAATTTCGCTTCTCTACTTTCCAACTTCATAAATTCATCTTTCTGTATCATCAATAACAAAATTACAAAAATATTTAAAACCGTAAGGCAAAACGATGTTGATCATTCATGAAAGTGTTTTAAAAAAATCAACCAACGATCCAGATAACTCGAGCTTAAACGGAAGCATACAATTGGTTGAAGGTGTAAGGATTACAATTCCTAACCTTTACAATAATGCTTTCACAACCATCAACTTTAGAAATGAAATGACGTCTAGAGGAAGAATAATCATATAGCTTTCATTTCTATTCATAATTACTTAATGATCATCTATAAAGTTATATTAACGTCAGTTGAATATTTTTGTATATGAGGGATAATTTATATTCATTATTAATACATATTCAACCACTCAGTGAGTGAATTTGTCTTCCAAATTGTCATTACAAAAACTTTATTATTCATTTTTTTAACCATTATGACAATATCAGCATAGTTAATGAACTTTATAATTTATCGATTACCGATCACGTCTAAAAAAGTACAAAAGGTGGAGGTTTGTTTACAAATAAGTTTAAATTTACGAACAAAACAAAACACAAGTGTATTATATGAACATACCATGCATTGATGGCCCAGTTTTGTAACGTCCAATCAATAATTTCACGTCGCTATGTGCATTCTATATGCAAAAAAAAACACGTAATCATGAATGAATATAATCCATTGGTTTATGTAATGACAAATAGAATATGTTTATCAAGATTTCAAACTTTAATTGGAAACTGTAATTCATATTTTATAAAACTGTAAAATTTAATTAAAACTAATGTCTTGCATATATATATATATATATATATATATATATATAATAGTAGATTAACTGTCACTAATTAAAAAATATGCTATGGTAATTTATCTGTTATTTGTAATTCTAATGGTCTTGGAAAGAATAATTGTTGAATATTCACTACAAATAAAGCGTACAAAAATGACATATGCGGTATATTAGATAGCTTTTTGTCTTATTCAATAAGTTCTGGCTCTCAATCACATTTGATTATTCGCCCGAGGGTATATTACTGAGTAGTTCCATGTTATCACACACTTATGAGTAGGCGAACAAAAGTTCAAACTTTTGAAGCAATCGACATATTGTCAAAACACCCACAGACATTAAATCTAGGACAAGAAATTTAAACATTTTTATAATAAGTAGTATGCTTGTAACTAAATTTATATTGTTGTACATCTACTTAACCTACAATCTAGAACCTACATTCACTAAGAAAACAACACTAACTAACCTTTAATAAATTGACTACTTCATCTGATTTAGCCAAACGCATATCCCAACCATTAATTTCTAAAATTATATCACCAACTTCCAAAAGATTTGAACGGGCAGCTGGACTATTCTCTACCTGGTTACAGAAAAGGAGAAAACAAACCATCGAACAGAGAAATGTGTGAGATATCATAGCTATATTTCGATGGGAAATAGCTGAAACGTACATGAAATTCAACACGAATCACAAATTGACCCAAATCACTCTGTTGACCAATAAAATTAAACGTTGTAAAATAAAGAATTGAAGTAATCGAAATCTTCTATGAATCATTGTAAATATAAGGTAGGCGATAAATTGAATGGTGGGGAATTAACTAAGTAAAGGTAACAAAAAAAACAAAGTTCTACACTCCATGCACATTCAAATGATTGTTATTTTATATTGAATAAAGTTTGAATTAACGATGATCATAGGAACACTATTTTGGGAGAAACTATCAATCACAAATATACGAGGCTGACCATAAACTCATGGTCAGCTTTGATCTATAGTAAGTTAACTAACTACTGTGAGACGCAGCTACTTGAGTACTATGAAATTTTAAGAACATTCAGTTTTACCAAATATCGGAAAAATAACGGAAGAAACCCACTAATTTACTGAATACAGAAGGAAATCCAGAGAAAATGTTCTCTTCAACGATATCATTTACTAAATTTGTACCATCGTATTTATGGTGGCTCAATCAATATATAAGTCTAAACAAGAATATAAAGAAACCAAATTATAAAGACCTCAGAGATTTCAAGTACCAAAAGGTTGCGTAAAAATCTCGAAGTTGAAGAAACGTAGGAAGATGGGAATAATTTAAGGAACATACATTAAGGAAATAATCGTCCACATGATAGATATAAAGAAAAGACGAAAAACATATAGGTAATATTAACAATTGAATAATAATTGATATATATATACTTACAATGCCTCCAATAGCTGTACCAGTCGAATAATGAGGTCGACCAATCAATGACAGACCAAAACTTTGTCCAGGCATATCACGTTTCAAGTGAACATTATGACATTCGAATACACCTTGATTTATATATTGTGGTTCAGGATCTCTGTACACAACCAATTGGATACAGTCATCAGCTGTTCGTATAATCTGGTAATTGAAGTAAACATAGATGAAAAGTTAAACAGGACTAAAATTGGAAGTTAAATTTTACGGAGACAATGTGTGGAATTCCTAGCAGGAATCACTGGTAAAAAGAAGTCATGAGAACAAAACAAAATACCTTTGTGGCATCTTTTTGGGTAGCTTCACGAAGATCGATCCCATTGACAGCTAATAAGCGGTCACCAACTTGAAGCCGACCATCACGTGCAGCAGCTCCACCAGAGTGTACTTCATGGACCAAAATGTTACTCTTTAACGAAACAAATAAAAAGGAGCAGTGATTCACTGGTAGTTAATCTAATATGCTTAGATGAATTATGTATGTGAAAGACTATCTTTCGATAGGAAACTTAGTACGATCGTTCGGTACGCAGTTCATATTACGGAGACATCCTCACGACGAGGCCTAGTAGTTCCGTGTTCGATCTTGATTTGAGTTGTGCACAAAAACTCTTAAGGAGCTATATGCTAAGATGAAACAGCTCCTCAATGTTCCCCATAGTTCAATGTTCATCTAAGTAAAATCAGTCAATCATGTAAACTACAAATCTAACTCATATCCCACATGATGTGAAATTGTAGCAAGTTAACATCAAGTAAAGAGTAGAAAAAGGGTAATTATTTCCATATAATCAAGCGTATCATATTATATACGTAAAATCAATAAATAGGACTGAGCAAGAACAAAGATTGGTCCAGAATAATATGAATTCATTTTATTTCGTTAGGTTCTCATCAGCTGCTTACAACCTATAATATTTCAAAATCAAAGTTATTATACTATATATATACTTATAAATACGAGGGTGATTAAAGATGAATATATGTATCATGATGTAGCGAAGATATTAATAGAGTTAATAAGGTCATAAAAGTCCTTTTGTTTCGGATGAATAAACTCTGGGAAGGAAAATTCCAGAACATTGAAATAATGATTAGAGCTCATGCGGTTAACAAACATTAGATGATAGTGCAATCAAGCAACTGAAACTAGATTAATGGTAATAAAGAAAGGTAAGAATTGAAATCAGTTAGCTATGAATTGAAGAAAAATGACAATGATGTAATTAAACTTCAGAAAGAGTTGAAATAATCATCATTTATATTTAACCAAATAGCACATACCAAAACTGTGTCACTTCCACCGACAATCGAGAATCCGAGACCTCCGTCAGTCTTGTACAGAGTAACTGTAGCAGGAATCCCAGGTATAATGGATAATTTATGATGCTTTATATCATTGTCTGGATTATCCCCTGTTGTAGTTACATATCCAAATTGTAGCATTTGTTGTGAGTCACTGTGACAAGGTATTTGCCTACCGATGGTTAGGCGTACAGATTTTCTTGATTTTTGCAACAATTCCAGTGTACTTTCATAATCACATTGAAGTTGACCATCAATAGCTAGTATACGATCATGAGGTCTAAGAACTCCTTGCTGCAAAAAAATAATCGATGAAGAATGTATTTTACGACATCCAAGAAACATTTATAAGCATTACATTCAAAAAATAAAGGAAACCTATAAGCAATCCAGATCAAGACATGAAATCAGCACATAAAGTGATGGACTGAGCAGCGTCCTTAGACAGTTGAGGTTCTATTGGGGCTGCTAGATCCCCAGAGATCACTTAGCATATATATTTGGTGCCCTCTTGTACCAATATTTATGTGTTGAGATAAAAATAAAATAAAATAGATAAAATGGACAGCCTGTACTCATTTACATCTTTATTTTTACACTACCACATATATTAGTGCTCATATATTGAAAATCTGCTCTCCTTATAACTGTGTTGGTGCAAAAGGTGAGAAATTGAGCCAATGTACGTTTATTGCAGATTCCAAAGTTATTTACGATCATCTAATTGAACGAAATTTTAGAAAATTAGATGAACACTGATTTACATATTTTATTACAAAATATAGTACTGAATGTTATTCGCACTTTCATTTCCTAGCAATTTTAAAAACATATCTAAATAACGGAATAATTTTATGTTTGCGTATAACTTTAATAGTTAGTTAACCCTAAACTAATCACAGTGTCCCCATAAGTTTTTGGGCCTATCAAGAACAGTACACTATTATAGTCATACAATTTTGTTACTCCAGATGAGGATAGCCGGTTCTCCCGCCACTAATACTTAGAAGTAATTAGTATAAAAGTAATGAAAATATGATTCAGAAGCACTGAATTACATACTGTGAGATCCACTTACTAGTTGTGCTGGGCTGTTTGGACGGATTTCGCTGACGAATACACCAGGTTCATTGTTTGGACTCAAATTAACGATGAAAATACCGAAACCGTCTGAACCCTATGAAAAAAAGAAGGTTGAAATAAATCAACAGTTGAATATTGAGGATTTAACACAAAAGGATCGATACTCCCTTAACGCATCTGGATACTCAGGATTCGGTGAGTATACTCCTAAAGATAATCTACAACTATTCAACATTTAAACACAAAGAAATATCATGCTACAGATAATCAACTTGGATTATTCTCAATGATCACGTGAAGAAAAATACAATTCGCTTCGATTTTAATAGGACAGTGTGAGAGTGGAGGTGTATAATAAGATATTTATCATTTATAAGTAACATAGATTGGACAAAAAAATGATAAACTTATCTATTCGCGTGATACAGATAATACATTAACAAGAAGTCCTTTCATTCAATACACACTATAAGATTTACACGGTCACTACTCCGCAGTTTTCTTTTAAAAAATGTAAGACGCTTCAAATGATTTGAGTGGTAGCTTTACCATCTGATTACTACAACAATAATAATTTCTAAAAGTCATGCTTAGCGAGTTTATTTTCGATAACATGGGATAAAGGTCAGATCACGTTTTTTCTAATGTTAATATTTTGTTCGGCATGATGTCGGTTGCATTTTTCAAGTAACACTTATTCAGATGTGTACTTTGAGTATTTTTGTAGTAACATCTGTTTATTTACCATACGTAATATTTATTAACTAAGATGTGTAAAGTTCCATATAAATGAGTGAATTTTAAATTAACGGCGACGTGTTTGAAGAGCCGATAAGATTTCTATTACCACTAGTTAGCGTAGTGGAAATCGTAGTGGATCCTCGATTCTAGTATTAACAGTAGGACCTCAGTCATTACAGTTTTACTAATATAATCATACTATTCATATTTTATGTAACACTATTTAATCTAAAGAAAATGAACAAAAGCGTTTTCTAGTTGGATAAATCTATTAGTAAAATTAACTAGGAAACCAAATGAGAACAAAAATAAAATGAAAAGGCATATTGTTTATGATTTGTATAGTGCAGTAACAGATAAACAATTGATGTTTTTAGTAGTTATGTGCAAGTTCACGAACAGGACACAGGAACGTAATAAATAGTTGTTTGAAAACAAAAAAAATGAGCTGGTACTCAAACCGGTTTTCGAAATATCAAGGTTTGTTTCAGTACGGATTTTGAGACAAAACGTCGACGCAGTTAAAGGGTATAGAGGACTTTTAATCCTACAATAATTAAGCATGTTACTCGAAAAGTGCTACTTTTTACACCGAAAATTCTATATTTGTTGAAGAGATCAAAAATATTCCTCGGAATCGCCCAGAAACGCTGGGAAACATTTTATCCATTCAGTATTGAATAGAAGTTTCTCAGAAACATCTAGCTATATGTTTAGTAAGGTTCCAGAAGCCCAAATCCACATGAAATGTTATAAATACTCTCAGCTTTCTGTGCATGAACGAACCTTGGAGTAAAGCGTTATTTCCATATTCCGCTCCTTATCTTTTGTGTTCAAGTTGTTGTGTAGATTTAGCCTGGAGTTATTAGAAGAGCTTAGGAAACCGATTCAAGCATTAAATCAATTTTTTTAATATTGTACTAAAGATATAACAGTGAATGAATTCATTATCAATAACAATATTTATTATCATATAAAGCAATATTCGTGAGAATTTAGAATAAACATGATGAAAACAGATTGAAAATCACAACCAACCATGTGCTGAAAATGCTCTACTATGGGTAGTGCGATTAGACCATCACATTTATTAGCCTCAATCACACGAGTTAGTCGATTTATCAAAATAATATCAAGAGTAAAAACAAGATCAATACTTAAAATATATGTTCTTAGTCCTATTTGTACATTCACACATTACACTTAATGGGACTATGATGCACAGGATTATTCGGGACAAAGTAACTTTAATGAAGAGATTAATACCTATTATCATATCTATTTTCTTAACAGTGCATATGACGTTGTTACTACATTAATTCAAATGAAATGTGATGTGGTTCTGTGGTAAAGGTAATCAACCTTCAACTATTAAGTCGGTATCAATGCCAAAGTTGAACTTAATATTTTCAAATAAATCGAACATTGGGTAGAAAGTTAGTAATAAATATATCTTTTTGTTATATCCCAATGAGTAGAATAATTATATTTCTGAATATCTCTAATATGGCTAGCATCTCTACACTACAATAAACCAAATAAAGACGAAACACTGTGTGAAACGATTTTGGCCAAATATAATTATTAGGACAATATAAGATAATTATCAAAATATTTATATTTATTTCGTCTTCGATAAACACAACAAAAAAGTCTGTAGATGCTTTTTATCACAAAAAAGTATATTCTTTCTACTTACTCTTTCCAATATAACGTCGAATAGTTGAAATTTCCAAAAATCTTCATTTAATTCAACCATGATCTCTTTTAGAAATGTATGTGGAATTGGCTTTGAACCAGTTGGTAATGGATTAGGTGGTGATGACGATAACACTTTTGAACAGGTGCTCTACAAAAAAAATACGTTTAACATAAAGAAACAGTACTAAAATAGACTAAAAACTATTAGTATGGAAATAAATTATCATTGATAATGCTTTAAAATATGAGACATTTTTTTTTATAAAGATGAGCGAAAATATCAAGCTTCATTCAATCAATTATATTATTTCAAAAATGTATATATTCCCAATAGTCACATGAATTCTAGTGAAGGTAAGAATGATGTATAACGTGTACTAGTAAATATAACAGTTTCAGTACATAAAATACTTCCTTTTTAGAAAACTTATTCTCTCTGGTCTGAGTTCATTCAGCAGTAGTTTTGTGTTCAGTCAAAATTCGATTTAAAAGAGATGGTATCCGATCAAAACCTTATGTAAATTATTATGTTTGTATATCACTTCATAAAGTGTTTTTGATGCATCTGAAAAATTTTATTTTTCTTTTAAGGTCAAGACCTCAATATGAAACTGTTAATAAGTGGATCTAATGATGACTCTATTAGCTACTGGAATAAACATAAACTAGGTAAACTTTTTATATTGGGAATTATAATTAATTAGTTATATGGGTATTAGTACGTACATACACAAAAAATCCTAATTCATTATCAATGTGAATTGCCTGAATAGTAAATAATGAACGTCTCAATTCATTCGATAAAGTGTCCAAGAACGAAGTGTATTGCAATCTGACATCAGATTATAATACGTTGATTAATTAACACGGCATGCAATCTGAAAAAGGTCGATAATTGGTGCAGATATTTTGACTGGGTATTCGGGTAGTAAGAGGATTACTTCATTTTGAAAAAAAAGGATAACGTACCGAGTCAACCATGTTGAGAGTGAATAGGTTACCTATCGATGGCAATAGATAAACACTATGATAGACTGATGTTGGGAACGAAAGAATGAAATCAAGTATTTTAGGTTAAATGTGTCAGATGAAAGACGAAATGTGAAAGTTCTTACGTAAATTAAATGTGGTTTAGATAACTCATTGATAGTGTTTTAAATTAGGACAAAACAGTTGGCTAATGCTTTAAAATTTATGAATTGATGGCAGCCTATAGTGGAAACAATCGTCGAATATATTATTAAACTTGATTTTTTTTCCAGTATTTGAAATAACTCTCAATAACAGATATGTCTTTTAATTCACTCACATTCATCATTTCAATTAAGTAACTGAAACACCCAAGTGATACGAGGAAATGAAATTGAGAGGGTTAAAGGAAAAAGTTATATATTATATTAATTATAAAAATTGTCAACTAATTCACAAATTCAATTTTTTATTGATCTTAAAGTTGAAATCACGATGTTCCAATCTTGACAAAAGATTAAAGTAAAATCAACAGCCTAACTAGGGGTGGAAACCACGGTACAGATTCTGTCCTATTCGAAACTCACTAGATTTTTGTACTTACATATTGATATTGGTGTTTTTAGTGAGACCTGGACCTAGTACACATAGGATTTAACACCAGAGTTATTCACTGAACTCCAGGTTAACAACAGCAACCCAAATTATAGAAAGTTTATACTTACATTATTTCCATACTGTGGGAGACAAATGTTTAAGCACAATTTTGTTCAATGAAAATACAAATCAAAAGAAGGACAAAATATCATTATTTTAGAATATCAAGCAATGTTTCTTAAAAATCTATCATTAGCTGATATAAATTGGAAAAAAAATATTGCAGTGAGATTAACTTACACCAGTCAAATTATCTACACTCAACGGTGAATCATTGCACTCCCGTGAAAATGACATTAATGACAAATTTTTTGGATTTCGTCTTATGATTAGTGTAATGAAAGATTTGATAACTGATTGATCAGAATCACTCACTTGTCCATTATTATCATTACCAATAAAATAATTATTACTTGAGTTATTGATTGAATACTTATTCGACATTAATTCGGTAATTTTTGAGTGGATAATCTGTTGAACGGAGATATGATCTAACCCACAGACATTGACGTCTTCAACCTAAATATCGGATATAGACGCACGTAAGCGAACAGTATAAAACAAATGAAAAAGAAACACGAAAGAGCCATTGAAAATAGTACATAAAGAATGTATGATATAAAAGAGATATTAAACCAACTATAAAAAGGCATATGACAGTGTGGATAGAAAAATCTTGTGGAGGCATCTTCGATACTATGGTGTACATGAGAATATTGGATAACTTATGACCCTCCTTGAAGGATAACAAGCAAATATAAGCATGTTTAACACCCGTTAAGTATAATGTAGCAAACTGCTGAGCAGTAACTTGTCCTTTGTTTGGAAGACGGCTATCTCACCTACGCCACTGTTCATTCAAGTTAGCATAAACCAATCGAGCCTTCTGAATCTACCGAAATTTCACCAGACCCCAGATCATCAGTACTGATGAAACTTCCTAGATAAGTAGAGCGATCGACACACTCAATTACCTCACTCCCTATCACTAATTCAGGCGATGACGCAATTCAATCCGCATTCCAAACATGTTTGCATTGTTCTTATGTTGATCAGGAGACCGTATTCTGTCAAAGACTTCACCAAACTGAACTATAACATTTGGGTATTCTAAGTCAAAAACTGAACCTACTGATAGAAAACCAACCTCTGAAAGGTTAGAGAAGGAAGGTACTTTCTCTGAGAGCATTTCCTGTAGACCGAAAAACTAGATCTTTCAAGATTAAAGGCACAGCTGGCCAATGAGTGACAAATAGCACAAAACGTAGGTCCAAGGTTGTCTGTTGATTATCCACAATCACTTTATATGTAAGACGTGTTTCGGAGCCACGAGTAATAACAAATAAGTAAAAACAGGTAACTATTAAAAAAGAGTAAGATACATTCATTTAACCATTTAGAAAAGAGCAAGAACAAAGATACAGGGAACTCCGTGTATGAAATTTCTCAAAAAACGCCAACCTGAACAATTAACCAATTAGATTGTGATTGTGCAGGCAATTTTACTGGATAAAAAGTACTGAAAATGTGGCAGTCATTTTGTTGTTGTTGATGAATATGAACTACATGATTAATGGCAACAAATTTCGAAGAGTCAACATTTAATTGCTGTATTTTATTGACTGAATGATACACATTACCACGTAAGAATTAAAACTTTGTTATCCATTATAACTAACCTGTACAATTTCATCTCCACACTCAAGACCGCCACTAGAATCCGTTTGACAGCTTGCAACAAATGTAGCCATATTCTCGGGATTAGAACAGCTTACAAGATGCAAACCCAAATTTCCCGTTTTTTCGTTAACATTATGGGTGTAGTTTGATGAAGAATTAATAAGTAATGGTAGATGAATAAAAAGTATCTTATCTTGGCTATCACGTGTGTACAATTTCACAGGACCATAGAAATTTACTAAAATATATTGTATAATGAACAAAATAGAACCAATTCAAAAACACAAAACCAAGACAGAGGGATTACAACAAAAGAAAAATATTATAGGAAACGTTTAATTGTAGAATTGGTTTCAAATGTTCAACCGATATTAATAACATAAATTCAATGCAAACCGGGAGGTAGATAAATTACAACAGATAAATATCGGAACAATTTGTAAAGACCATTGAGTCGTCTATGCATTTAAAAATAACCTTCAATGATATTTACTTTTTGCATAACGATATTTTGGATAAGAAAGTTTACTAGCATAATATTTTACAAAATGAATAAGTTTCGCTGGTCATTTGTTAAGTTTCATAATACCCGTGTGATTTGTATCTTTTATTTGTTTGCCTGAGAAATCTTAGCTCTTTAAATTAGTACAGATTGGTCAATGCGCAATTTTTACGATCTGTAAAGAACATGTCAACCCTATCAGCTTAAGAATCTCACGATAAAACAACTGAGTAAAACCAAAATACTTTTGATGAATGCTGCAACTATCTGTTGTACGATTGTTTTCTTAGAAGCACGGTTCAGTGGTAGTGAGTAACACAATATAGAGTTGAGAAATTTCCACGACTGATCACTTCACTAACTTGGAAACATACATTCGCTCAAAACTGTTAGCAGCCGAAAAATCCTAAACCAGATGTAAAAAAATTGCCGTCGAGAACCTAGCGCCTGTCAGACATGCATACGTCTACGAAACGTAAGGTGTGTGTACATGTAGGATCCTGATTCTGTATTACTGCACGAATAAGAAGATAATTATCTAGTGAATTGGTGAGAAGTATTTGATATAAAATTCTGAAGCACTTGGATTTCATCCTCCACATCACTAAGGGACTTTCAAAGAAATTAAACAATTACGAATTGTTGTAAATTACACAGTACTAGACATGTGATTCGGATTTATAGTGTACATCGATGACTGCACATAAGATCGAACCTACATTTCTGTTTCACTAGATGGTAAAAATGAAATTCGAAAACCAATGATTACAATGAGTTTCTAAACTTACATTCATTTACATTTGAATCATTAACTACCATAGGTTTTAAATAACCAGTCGGCTCTTGTTCTTTAGATGTTGTAGACAATCGTCTAGAAGGTAGTAGAGGTGGAGGAAATGATGAAGAACTAGAACTACAAACACTGTCACTAACCCAGCCATTTTGTAGTTTTGATTTTTTATCGCATTTTTCATACGTTGAAAACATAACATCAGTACTGACAGCGTTATCCTCATCTTTTAAAATAGGCGATGAAAGTTGAGATAGTGGACATAGAGTAGTTTTCCTATGTGTATTATGCTGTGAATCAGAAGAATTATTCGGATCTGGCGACGGCACTGATCGAGATAAAATATCCACCACATCACGAGACTCCATATCAGTCTATAATGAGGAAGAGAGAAATTAGAAGAAACGATAACAAAAATAAAATTCTTGATAACTAACAGAACTAACATTCAGAATTCATCTAGCTACACTCCTCTCAGACATAATCGATGTAAAAAATATCGCACGGTTTGTTGAGTTTCACAGCTGTTATGTTTTGTATATAATAAAAAATTGGAGTCGAGAGGTGGCTCAGTGATTAAGGCAATTGACTTTTAGCAATTAAGTTGTAGGTTCGGTTTGGGCATCTGGATAGCATCACCAGTCTTTACACTTCTAGCGTGACTCCAACCCAAGTAGACGAATCGGTACCTGTTAAATCAGTTAAAGATTCTATTGTCAGTATGTTATGGATGCTCCAGAACTAGAATAAATCAAAATCATGCTGTCAAACGTGAATTGATGAGTTTTATATATGTATTTGAACAAATAGGCATTGGTACAAGTTAAAAATACCAGTTAGTGTTTTGGTATGATGTATAAAACAAAAACAAAATAAACACCTATACCAGATTTTATAATCTAAACTTCAATCATATAGTGAAGATCATCTAATACTATCAATTTTGAAATTCTACCTTGGAGAAATTCACTAAAGAAAAAACAGTGTAAAACAACTATCAATAAATACTTTCCGTTGACATTTACAATCTAATCAAAGACTAAAATAGTCTTTAGTAAAACATTTCGGATGTCAACATATTTTATAATAGAATATGAACAGTGAAAGCATGAATAAACCCAACTAATAAGTAGACTAACTATAGCACAGAATGTAAACACAGTTTATAGACAAAAAAAAATACTTAATGAAAATATGGTACGGTAAATCGATGACCAATATTTTGACTACTTCAAAAACATTACTTATTATTATAAAGCTAAGTGCCCAATATATTGATGATGATTTCACGACATTAAAGACATCTACTTCAATAATATTAGTAGTATATCGTGAAAAAATTCGTAAGAATGAATAGGCTTACTACAAGTAATGAAAAAAATATGAAGTCTTGGAAATTAGTGATGTAACGACGGAATTGTTTAAAAATGTCTAGTAATTAGAGAATGTTCCAACACCATAGAATGAGTCGTTAGTTATCCCTATCTCTAATAAGAGTCCACTTCACTTATCTAACAACCATAGGAGGATAAGTTTACTTCTGATGGCATCCAAATTATTGACTTCCGTCATACTTCGTAGATTGTTCAAAACCCATGAAAGGTTGACTTGCGAGGAGCAGACTGGTTTTCGTCCTGGTCGAGGATGTATTGGTCATATCTTCACCCTCTCTCAAATCTTAGAACACCTTCATACTTATTACAAGCCAGCAATCGTAGTGTCTCTCGACATCAGGCTCGCATTTGATTCATTGGGCAGGACTGCTCTATGGGATTGTCTATTGAAGAAAGGTGTGTTTAAAAGCCCTATATACAAACACCACTGGCGGAGTGGGGGCATACGGTCACCTCTCTCCATTGCTCTAACCCAGAAGCGCGGCTAGGTAGGGTTGCCAAATCTAACCATTCCTTTTCAACTTTGCCATCAATGACGGTCTCAAATCAACTTTGATGGATGTGGGTAATGGTGGTGTCAATCTGTTGTCTGGAGAAGGACTCTTCGACCTTGAGTGTCCGGATGATATTGTCCTACTGTGTGATGGTACCTAAGCGATGCAATCTGCACTTAATCAGCTGCCAACCAGTGTCCGTGGGTATGGCATTTGCTTTGCACCTTGGCAGTGCAAAGTACTTTTACAAGACTCTCAAGATTCTAAACCTGCACTCACTCTTGGTAGTAAGCAAACATGAGTAGTCGAGAAGTTCGTGTATTTGGGTAGCTCAGTGAGTGCTGTTGGTGGCGTGAGTGACGTTAGTCTCGCTGTAGAAGGTCAGGTCTTTAATGCGTCGGGGAAAGCAGTATTGCTATATGTTTTTGAAAAATGGTCTCTTCGAATTGGAGATGTTAGGCGATTCTCTGCGTCGGATCATCGTTGTCTACGAATGACTATTGGAATTCAGTGGAAACACCGTGTTCTTATTAATGCAGAGGTTTGGCAGCGTGTGTTTGGTCACATTGAAGATAATTCGGTTGCTGTCACCATCTTGAAACATTGACTCTGGTGGCTTGGACATGTGCAAAGAATGTCTTTTCCATAGCGACTTCCACACTGTAACCTTTTTGCTGACTCTCGGACTGACTGGAGAGGTAATTAGTTTATGACATGATCTCGAGGTATGAAAGAAATCTGTACAGGATCAGATTTTCTTGGTTCCTTACGACTATCTTGTTGTGGTCCCCGAGATAGTGCAACATATAGGGTTGGAACATTACCAGAAATGGCTCAGAATCGAAGCCAGTGGTGATCCTGCTGTAAGTTTGGCTTCCTTCATAAAAGTGGGAGCAACTTTTTTAACTGAAAAATATCCCTTCTGGTTGCATTTTGCTTAACTGAACTGCTTCTCCCATCATTATTTCACTCACATGCACCAATATCTATACATAGTTTTTCTTGTTTTTGTTATATTCACTTTCCTTCCTCTATCTCTTCACGACCTCATTTTTGTTGTATCGTGCATATATATTTTGGCTTCCTTGTACCAATGTTTAACATTAATACTTAAGTCCATCGACTTCATGTAATGTGTTAAGCTTAAATTTATATCATAAAAACGTAAACAGGTACCATCTTAATAAATATATGGACTTCTGATGACCAAACAGATATTCAAGAAATAATTGTATGCATATAATCTTCAGAATGTATTTTAGTTGCATAAACAATAGTTGACTAATTAATTATAATTTGTACAGTTCTTATCAGTACTACCTTGTAACTATTTAGAGTTCAACAGTTGGATAGCGTTTAAAGCTATATATGTATGCAATAACAGAAAGTCGAGTAGACAAATATAGACCTGAAGGTGTTATTTATTAGAAATTGATCCCATTCGGGGTACCAAATTGTGATGAATACCGTCTTCAAATAAAACTAGTTTCCATATAAGCTGTCAGAAAAATAGTATAATTGTAGTCATTAGAGAAATACTTTTTGATCAGTTCCTGAAATCTTAGTGAGAAGTTTTGACCCGTGGAATTCAGATATATGAGAGATCAAAAAATCATCAGTAGTTGTTTTTGGATTGTCGTTGCGCTATATTTCGAATCGATAAAAGTTGGAAATGTGTATCACTGACACATCAAGGGACTTGAAGATTTTCAGTTCAACCTCAGAGCAGGGTTATGAGAGGAGTCCCATACCAGGAAGAAATAGCTGCCTGGTGTTTTATGTTCTTTAATAGTACCCAACATAAATTAATCCGTGATGAATATCGCCCTCAAATTAAACCGGATTCTGTAAAGCCCAATAAAAAGTTCAAAACTTCCTACATAGTCTTGACACGATCATCTGAATAAATTCGAACGCAATATGAGGTTATGATTTTTATCGTTTAAAAACGAGACAATCGACAGAACTGAGAGCTTATTAGTTAGCTTGTGATTGACATTTTATGAATGAATGATCCTGTCTCATCTGAAACGATCTTAGAAATTCATAGCTCAAGTGAACTATTCTAGTGCCGAGTTGTTTGAAATATTAAGCTTTTATGTTGTTTTTTAAAACCGAAGTATATCCATAACGATGATGACTTTTAAATATTGGACACTTCACTACTTTAATCTATATTCGTACATGTGAGTAGAAACGATTTCTGAATATATGAAGTCACTCAAAATACTTGTTCAGTGACAAAAAAAAGAAGTAAAGAAAAGTAGAAATAAAGTATTGAATTAAACTCCGTATCTCAATTAATTTCAGTAGCACAGTCAGTCGGATAAAACATAGGACCACGCACATATATGCATCGGTCCAAGTTGCCATACCTCATTAGCACAGCAAGATGAACACCGGATTCATAGAAGTAGTTCAGTCAATGGCGGTAATATATAAAAGAAAGATTACATATAAGGATGTAGTACAGGAAGAAAGATTTAGTACGTAGAAAGAAAGATATGAAGCGATTTTAATCTCATAGGTTAAGGGAAGACCGATTCTGAGCCATATCACCCAGAGTCTCCGACCATTGGTTCCTATAGTCACACGGACCCCGACTAAGTAGTCTGATTCTACCAACATGGCTCAGACCAGAAGTCAGTGTCTTCAAGCACTGATTTAATGGCGTTATTAAATTAACATCATACTTTAACAGTTTGAATGAAAAGAATATAAGCAAAACAACGAAGTAAGAAATAAAAACATGAAGAAAAATAAACTAACCAGTGGTTCAGGATCTTCCATATCACTGGAACTTGGAGATGTCCCTGGGTGGACAATATGATCATATATTAGTTGACCATTGATAGGTGTGGAGATATTTAAATAGTTGGATAACTGGATCATGGATAAAAAAAGGAGAAATTATTGCATTAATTAGAATACCAGTAACAGGGTATGCACAAATTTTCCATGTCCCTCTAAATAAACAAACACATTAAACCACTTAATTTAGACTGAAAAAGTAATAGCTTGACGAAAGAACTAATAAAAATTAATTTTCATTAGTCTACGTTGAGTTTTAAAAGCCCTGGATACGTTTAAAGTGATTTGTATTGCAAACCAATATCAAAATGAGAAGAAAAAAAAACAACGAAAGACAGAGAGCTTTAAACTATTTGAAAATATCTATGAGTACATATCTACTATTCTATACATAAGTTACGTATGAACACTCACAGATAAAATTATACAAACATCAAACTGTGATCGATTTTGGATCATGTTAAATTATGTTTGCAAACATGCATCACGAATATCACGCGGATCCAGAAGAGGAACCTAATCAATTGAGAAAAACTTTACAGACGAATAGTATCTTCATTTGACTCCATTAGGCTTTTTATGGATTTTAATTTTAGGTGAGACAACATTACGTTCAGGAATTTATATGCTAATCTACTAATTAGTTTTTTATCTAGTGACAACATATAAATACTTTCTACATACAATTAGGAGGTTTGTTTTATCATTCACATCTATGATAAACATTTAGCCCCGGCACAACCGAGGGTGAGGAGAGTCAGCTCTCCCTCTTGAAATGCTCTCATATGGCGACGGGTATACAGCCACTACCAGGAAATTCCTAATCACTGCCTTCTCGCGGCTGGCATGTTGTCTACGAAATTGAAAGGGAGAAAGGCAAATGTCTGGCGCTTTAACCGGATTGGTGAATATAGAGGATCCACCTATGGGAGTTGAAAAATCCTGATTCTATGGACTGCCGGATCCTGAGGGAATAAATGACTTATTGTTGGTCACCGGCTACCATGGGACTGCATATCCTTACGTTTCTCCACTGCTTTGTGGATTAGACCTTCAGGTCAAAGGCTCGAGGAATGGTCGTCGTAGAAAACCACCTGCTTCGATTTGGGGGCTCTGGCAGTATCATAGGCTTCGCACAAATCAATGATAACCACTACTGGCCTCATTGTTATTGAGTGGTGCATATGTGTTTGGTGCCCCCTTGTATCAATATCTATGTGTTCAAATAAATAAATAAGTCATAATAAGTACAAATCATAGTAGCCTAAATACTAATAGTATATTGTAAACCAATAAATTCATCTAGAACAGCAAAATATCATGATGATAATTGCTAGTGCAATGTAGTGAAAACGTCTTTAATCAACTTACAACAAGATTTTTAAAAAGCTAATAAACAATCAATTCATCCCTTACCTCCATTTTATCAGTAAAATTATTGTTATTATTATTATTATTATTATTATTATTATTATTGTCAGTAGTAGTAGTAGTAGTAGTATAATTGGTAATATTAACTTGATTGCCTGGATTAAACATCTCAGCAACATCACCATTAATAATATGTTTTGTACAATCATCATTAAAATGGCACACAACTATGCGAATTTCACGTAGACCAGGCTGATCCGACAGATACTGCAGATAAGCATTGACATAATTTGGACCTTTGGTGGAGACATCGATACCTTGAATCTAAAATTGATCAAAAAGACAGACAAACACAAAATTGGTGTTTTATAGTATTACTGGTCAAATTTAAAGTTTTGGTAAACAAACAATTCTAATTTATTACTAAAAGTTTTTATAGCGTGATTTTTTGATCAGTTGTTATATGCAAACTCTTAGACATATGAACAGAATATCATATCTCGATGTGGTCAAAAACTTTAATGATTATATATATTTTTATCAAGTAGTAACACTTAGTCGGGTCACATGGTTAGTAAGTATTGCACAGTGTACAGTAGACAATTAAAATATAATCAAAATAGAACACAAGGTTAAATTACATAACAAAGGATCTTCTCAATTACGAACCAATCCATAACTGACGTTCCCTTTACGCCAACACAGTAGTTAAAGTACTCGACTTTTAATCACGATGTGAGTGGTTTGAATACTGCACGAAAATAGTGCCTGAACACCGATTACCACGACGTGCAATGCTATCCGGCATTGGAAATGGTTGGAAGAAAGTTAGGGGCGGCCAAACCAAAATGTGGCATCAGTGCTTGAAGTCACTAACTTCTAGTCTGAGCCATGTTGGTAGATGCAGATTACTTGGTTGGGGTCCGCGTGACTATCGTAACCAATGGTTGAGACTCTTGGTGACATGGCTCAGAATCGATTACAATGGCGTCGGTGTATACACTTCCTGTCTTCCCTTAAACTAAGAGATTAAAATCACTTCATATCTTTCTTTCTACGAACCAATTCTTTCTTCTTGTACTATATCTCTATATGCAATCTTTCTCTTATATATTACTACCTTTGACCTAACCACTGCTACGAATCCGGTGTTCATCTTGTTGTGCTGATGCGGTATGGCAACCTGGACCGATGCACATATGTGCCTGGTCCTACGTTGTAGCTGACTGACTGACTGACGAAAATAGTGAAAACTTTAAGGGCAAACATTAAGGTACTTGGTATGTTTTTCTTATTGCCTATCATTTTGAAAAGCAAAAGGTAATTACTAGGAAATTTATGCATCCACTATATTGTGGGATGATAAAAAGATGTCATACCAGCAGAACTAGTTGAGACCCTTTGCTGAAAACTTTACTGTACTCAAACACATGATGTAAAATACATTAAAAATTCTTATTTTTACTGTGATCAGTTTATATTAATGTATGACATGAACAAACCTATTAACTAAATATATGTAAAGAAGGATAGTGGATATCAGTGAAATCTAGGACGCACGTTTCGTCCTATTTGGGACTCGTCAGCTGGATGTACCTGCACTTCAGAGTTGATGTCCATTCTAGGGCTCGGACTCAGTACCGTTCGTTTCACATATGTCAATAAGAGACTGATCGATTGCAGTTCTAAACATCAATGGAAAGATTCAAAAAAACAATTTAAACTTCACCCCATTGCACAAGCAAGTGGCTATCATGACTCAGTAGCTAAGTGGATAACGCGGTGTTTGAAGCGAATGGTACAGAGTTCGAGCCCCAGAGTGAACATCAACTCTGAGGTGCAGGCACATCCAGCTGACGAGTCCCGGATAGGACGAAACGCGTGTCCTGGATTCCAACGATAGCCACTATCCATCTTTGTATATAATGCTTGTGAATTAAGGTTATGTCGAGGCAATACGCACAGTATGCATATATGCCAATAAGAGGCTGATCAATTGCAGTCCTGAACATTAATGGGAAAATTCAAACAAACAATACCAAGTGAACTTATTAACTAATCAGTAAGAATAGTAGCAAATGTTGTCTTTATCTCTTCTAGGCCCTATTATTTGTGGACGACATTAACCTGGAAAAAAACAGGAAGGTGAACTAACAATTGTCTAAACAAAGATTATTGCATGAAAAAACAAATCTCTAATAGGTATCAAATCGTTAAAACAATATCCGATATGTTACAGTCGATAGCTTAAACCGATATATCGGATTTTAATTTACAGGACTTTAAGGTTGAATTTAAAATATATACACAACTTATCCTTAAAATATACAAAATGAATATATACCCTGAAATCAGATCAGATACTTCAACGATCCATTTTGTTATGGTTATGTAAATGTTCGCAACATACACTTAGAATTAAAATGGGACATGTGATTAAAACGTACAAACAGTCCTAAAATTATATTGAGGTTTGAGACTCAGGATACTAACAATCAAAAATAGATAACCATCTATCAATCAAACAATCTATTTCTCCCTCCATGCTATATCATTTTGTGTGGGAAACAGAAAATTGTTCTTACTTAGAAAGAATATCTTTGTAACAAATTTTCCGAAATAAAATTATATATAAACTATAAACTCAGATCTTGCCAGTGAACTTGAGTATACTATGGAACAATATCAGTATAGCGAAAGGCTATTGCTAAACAATCTATTTAACATACTTTTTGTTGGGACCCTTATTTACTATATATAGTGCAATTCGTATGAACCCTGGTGAGTTGAGAAAGGAATTAACCTCTACAAATTAACGGACCTTCGACATGAGTGCAAGAAAAACCTTTTATTAACTTGAACTAAATGTAACGATGATATGACATTCGTCTGTTTTCGAAGGGAGAGTATGATATTCAATATAATTTGTATTATAAATGATAAATTCATATTTAAATTGAAAGATTACTTCCTATAATCTTGGATAATATGAGCTTACAAAAATCATGATTTAAAATGTGTGGAGCACAAACTAAATTGTAACAAATTTATTAACGTTTTCGGATTCTAATTTTTAAAGAACAAGAATAATAGTCATGACATATAAGAAAACATATATTTCTTTAATTCCAGTGATACATGAATGAATGAAAGTTGGTCAATTGAAATAAAACTAATGAACATAAATTGATGAAAAAAAATAAATCATCATGCAACAAAGACAATGAACACTGACTTACTTGTAAGATCAATAGACCACAACTAAGCAATTTACAATTTTTTCCTACGCTATTAGGCAATATCTCGGATACAATGCTTGGATTTTCTAAATTCATTGGTGCTGAACAATTCAATTTTGAACAAATATCAGAACCTTTAAACAACAATTAACAGAAAAGAAAAGTTACATTTTCAATAGTCTACTATTTATTAACAGAAAATAAAGAAAATATCTAGTTACACAATGATATTGGTTTTGTATTACTTCGAAGATTAGGAGTGCACACTGAAATACACATACAAACAGATATGTGTCAATAGAAAATTGAAGAATTCGTCACTGTTCATCAAGAATGTAAACAGGATAACCTGGTTTAGTTAAGGAATAGTAATGCACAATATGAAAATTGACATCAACATACAAACATCCACATAAAAATGAGTACAAGAAGCTGGATGTATGTCTTGCATAGTTAAACTGCTATCATAACACAGAATCAATATTTTACTCAAGATTTTGAAGTTCAATAATACAGAAAAGGTTATTTTGAGTTTGCAGACGACTTACGTCAAACATTTACTACAGATGAAGAACTAAGCAAAATTACGGAACACTGGACAGTCGGTAAGTGCCTTGGCCTGCTGCTCCGGCAACATCGGTCAGACTGTCCTGCCCTCCATGGCCGGTGACGACTGATCCACCAAACGAGGAGGAAGTCCGCAAGGAACTCCAACTCTTGAAGCGTTACAAATCACCTGGCCCAGATGACTTACCTCCGGCTCTTTTTAAAGATGGTGGTGACTTTCTGACTAAGGAATTGACGACGTTGTTTACAAAGGTTTGGGAACTAGAGAGTGTACCAACGTCATGGAATGAGTCGATAGTTGTCCCTATCTTTAAGAAGGGTTCACGTCGTTCCTGTAACAACTATCGGGGGATAAGTCTACTTCCAATTGCGTCCAAGCTATTGGCTTCCGTCATACTTCGTAGGTTGTTCAAAACCCGAGAAAGATTGACTCGCGAGGAGCAGGCTGGGTTTCGTTCTGGTCGAGGATGTATTGATCATATCTTCACCCTCCGCCAAATGTTAGAACACCGCCATACTTATCAAAGGTCAACAATCGTAGTGTTTCTTGACATCAGGGCTGCCTTCGATTCGTTGGACAGGGCTGTTCTCTGGGATTGTCTATTGAAGAAGGGTGTGCCTGAGAAGTTTATTAACATCCTAAAAGCCCTGTATAAAAACACCTCAGGCAGAGTGAGGGCATACAACCACCTCTCTCCATTGTTCCATTCGAGCAGTGGGGTTAGGCAGGGTTGCCCAATCTCACCGTTCCTCTTCAACTTTGCCATCGATGACATTCTGGAAACAGCTCTGATGAATGTAAGTAATGGTGGTGTGGATCTGTTGCCTGGAGAAAGACTTCTCGACCTTGAGTATGCAGACGATATTGTCTTACTGTGCGATAATGCCCAAGGCATGCGATCGGCATTTAATCAGTTGGCAATCAGTGTCCGTAGGTATGGTATGTGCTTTGTAGTTGAGAAGTTCGTGTATCTGGGTAGCTGTATAAGTGCTGGTGGGGGTGTGAGTGATGAGATCAATGCACGAATAGTGAAAGCCAGAGCGGCTAATGCCAATCTGGGCCACCTTTGGCGCCTTCGTGATGTTAGTCTGGCTGTAAAAGGTCGGATCTACAACGCATCAGTGAGAGCAGTTTTGCTCTATGCTTGTGAAACCTGGTCTCTCCGAGTTGAGGACGTTAGACGACTCTCTGTGTTCGATCATCGCTGTCTCCGAAGGATTGCTGACATTCAGTGGCAACACCATGTCAGTAATGCAGAGGTTCGGCATCGTGTGTTCGGGCACAGAGATGATAATTCAATTGGTGTCACCATTTTGAAACACCGACTTCGGTGGCTTGGACATGTTCTCCGAATGTCGTCCCAGAGAATTCCACGTCGTGCATTATTTGCCGACTCTGGGACTGGTTGGAAGAAACGGAGAGGTAGTCAGTGCATGACATGGTGTCGTGGCATGAAAGAAAGCTGCAAAGGACTGGCTTGTGTTGGTCCTTCACGACTCCCTGGTTGGGGTCTGAGAGATGGTGCTACACAGTGGCTAGAGACGTTATCAGATATGGCTCAGAATAGAAGCCAGTGGCGATCCTGCTGTAACCTTCTTTTACTTTCTTCATAAAAAGTGGTTGTGTCTCCCTTACCTGAAAGATTTCTTCTGATTGCACCTTTCCGTTCCCTCATTTCTACCATACTACCTCACACTAATCTCCTCGTTATTGTTCTCTTTTTTTGCGCTCCTTAGTTTTTTTTTCTATTTCTCTTCGAATTCTCATTGTTTTGTGTGGCGCATATATATTGGCGCTCTCTTTTATCAATATTCATGTGTTCAAATAAATAAATAAATGTGGAGAATATCTACCCTTTCTCTCAAAAAACGCTTCCATACGGCCACATGGATATAGCTGCTGCTAAGGAATTCCTAATCACCGTCTTCTCACGGCAATGTTGTTTACGAAATTGAGAGGACGAAGAGCGTATGCCCAGAGTTAAACCGGGATTCTGGATACGGAGGAATCACAAAGGGGAGTTAAACAACCCTAATTCCAAGTCAAAAGTGCACTCGGATTCCAGGGTCACCAGCCACTATGTTATAGAATATCCTGACGTCGTCCCACTGGCATGTGAGTTAGATATCGAGGAGTGGACTCGCCTATAATAGACTAAACTCGTTCATTCATTTTTTTAATCACTGAATTATCTTTTCCACCATCTTCGCACTGGTTTATCTATTTCTTCACAATTCCATTTGCTTCTTTGTGCGGCTCATGTTGATTTTGATGACCTTTGCATGAATATTTATGTATTTAAATAAAAAGCTAAATAAATCTTAATTTCTACAAACCAAACTTTAATCCTTAGCTCAATAGTGACTAGCTTTGAAATGGAATTATGGATTCTCGGAGAAATGTTGTGGGAAAAAACTTGAGCGGGTCCGTCACTGGCGTTGAATAAATGTTCTGGCTGAAGTAACGCATTTGCTGTGAAACCTGGATGATGGATGATTTTGACGGAGTTTTGTTCTCTGAGCTGGATGGTTTGGTCGTGGAGCTTTCATCTTTCTTCTAAACGATGTTCCGGGTTCACCTCCTGACTTTCTTAGATACGTAGGTTTGGGGAACTTCATGCTCCATCCACTATTACATCTGATATGACGGATATGAGTTCGACCTAAAAGCCACGTCTCAATTCACTTTGGAGTGAGCAATCTACAAAACTGATTTCCGCTAATCGTTTATGATACTTATTCATTTTCATTTTTGTTTGATAAAAAAACATATTCTTATGTTTAGTGGGCGTACATCAACAATTCGGTTTAGCTAGCAGCTATCCCACGACAACATTGTAAAATTGCATTCCATCTATTAATTACATAGTAATCATTTAATTTAGTTGTTCGAAACCCGTTCACCAAATAATCAAATCCTAATTCGCAAAAATAATTTTAACAAGGAATGACCATAATCAGATTTCCAATTATGAGTGGAAAGTGTTAAAACATCAGGTTCAAAACTTACCAACTGATGACCAATCTCCTAAAATTAACCAGAGTATGTGGTAAGTAGATCAACCCAATTTGTGACGTACCAGATTACAAGGCATTCATCACAACATTCACTTCATATTCATAAAAAGACAGGAACCATAAAAAACCTTATAACTCACCAGATACAGCCAAACCCCAGGGTTGACTAGTATCTAAACGATGAAGTACAATTGCAACCGGAGGTGACCAATTTATAGGTTGTACAATGGACGAATATGGAAAAGAACTGTGAGCAAAACGATGCAAAGTAATACAAACAAAATATTAGCATAGTAAAGCGAACTAAGTTGACTGAAAGTAAAACATAGATACGACATTATTTAAAGATAAATGCGATCAATTTTTAATGCGGCTATATTTATCACTGAAAATATTATATGAAGAAAAAATAGCCATTTAATAACCCTTTAATCACTAAACGTTCCTTAGTTGATATTCTTGATAACTGTCTAAAAACTAAATATTTTCTTTAAAAAGCATCTAAGTTATTAATAACTGAATGAAAACTACTGACGACAATTTAAATGAAGTCCTCTAAGTTCAAACGACGTGACTTATGGACGCGCTCAACTCGATAATGAAATACTGATCAAGGACCAAATTACATTGTGAATCGAGTGCAATTAAAGATGACAACATAAACTTTTGCAGCCAGTCTAAAATCACGACGGCTTCAACGACTAACCTTATTGGTATAAAAAGCTTTGGGGTTCGTTATGCGTAGATCAATAACACTAGTCACGCCACCACCGGGGTTCATACAACAATCCAAATACATGGACTTTCCGGTTACTTCTAACGGCTCACCACAAAGAGGGATTCAGACACAGGTTCATTCAAGTTTTATAAAAGTGCATTGCGTTCAGAAGATACAAAGTACGTGTCATATCTTACAGACACTGATCGCCAACTGATTAAGTGTTAGTTTGCATAGTATGCAAATATCATCCGCATACTCAAGATCGAAGAGTTTTTCTCAAAGTCACAGATCTATACCATAATCATCACCACCTATTCCCATCTAAGCTTTCTTTCATAATCTCACAGATGGCTGAGTTGGAAAGAAAGGGTAACATTGGCCAACCTTGCCTAACCCCACTGTTGGGTTGGAACAGTAGAGTGAGATGGTTGCATGCCCTCAATCTGCCTGAGGTGTTTGTATACAGAACACTCACGATGTCAATAAATTGCTCACTCATAGCCTACTTTAATAGAATTCCAGAGTACAGTTCTGTTCGATGGCGGCATTTCAACGTTCGACGTGAAGTGGAAATATGGTCGATGTATCCATAAACTGATTGAAGATTGGTCAGCTCCTTGCTAGTCAGTATTTCACAACCTGCGAAGTATGATGGAAGCTATTGGTCTGAGCGCAACCCCTCTCTAGAGATTGTCGTAAAAATATTTTAAATATGGTAGGCGACGGTCGATTCATCTCAGGATGTTGGAATACCCTCTAATTCGCAAGCTTATCTAAACAACTCAGATAGTTCCCCACCTACTTCAAAAAAGGCCAGGGGCAAACCGTTTGAGTATAGTGATATATATTCGACGTTGTCCGTTTACCGATCAGGATCTTCAAGATAACTCCTGTTGTACAACAGGAGAAAGATCATTAAAAATAGTTGGTTTAAATAGTTTTTACCCCTCAATATCATTTTGAGTTCAATCTATTTACTTGTTACTCAGATCAAGATCCTTTTTCATGTAACTAATGAGTTAGACTGGATAGAAAATTCGAGCGCAGAGAACTAGGTTATTGGATATTATTACGTTTTCGTACTGTTACTAAAAAAATTAATGGGACCTACCTTCTCTGTAAAGAGTTTTCACTCGTTTGATTCAATGTTTTAGATAAACATTTAATTCGATGAGATTCAATAACGGAAGCAGGAAAATACGTTATGCTGAAGAGAACATAATATAACAAAACTGTCACAATAAACTGCACTGTACAAGTCACACTTTAAAGTAATAACAAACTATCAAATAACCACTTAGTCTTCAGTTTTTTTATCATAATTTAAAGATGATAACACTGAAGTGTGTTTTGTTTAATTGGACAATAAGAAATCAAACATTCGAATAGATAGGTCGTACACTACTCATATCTTTTTATGTTAAGTTTAACGCTTATTCTGTACTTTCTTTACGAACTATCTATTTGTATCACTGAAATAGTCGATAACTAGAATCCAGTTATTTCACGTTTGACTCTAAGATATCAAAGAGTTAAACTCGCAATAAAAAATAGGGATCATTACTAGAGTCGCGTAAAAGACAATCTAATAATAATCTTTTTGGCCCAAATAAAAACAAGCAGTTGTTCGCATCTCATTATTCCTGTTACGGACAATCAGTTTAAATTGATTGGGGAGACTAAAAAGAGCAGTAAGTAGCTGGTTAATAATTGACCTCTCTTTGATAATTCATGAGGAAAGAAATTTAAAGACTGATCATTGATAAGTAAATAATGTCACGTTAGCCGATTCGAAATGCTAATTAAAATGTACTTTCATTTTAACAGTTTAAACAACAGTTTTAGTGACTCAATAACCACATTATAAAACCATATAAATACGGTATGTTCCTGTGCTAAAAAACGGTCGAATTTAACTAATAAGCAGCTATTACAACGAAATGAGTCCACTAACTCGACCCATCTATGCAGTTATAATTACTTTGGTCAAATTAGTTCGTGCTGAGTCAGTATAACAAATTTTATGTGAAATATGTTGAAAGCTACACATAGTTTTACGATGACAAATTATAAATCTTATTTAAAACCCGTTTATTCCTTTAAATACATACGTAAGAAACTAATATATATCCTGATAAAGAACCAAATTTAAGATAAATAAACACTGAAATTAAATTGTTGACTGACAGACATCAATCATGATTATGAATTTGAAATGAGCAACGAGTTTAATAAGTCAGAGAAACAGTGTAGTGTATTGGAAAAATATATTGTAATAATCTAATCCCCTGTAGAGAATACATACATCAGTTTATTTTAGAATAACCGCCAACTTCTTACAGGTTAAGTATTTTAAGGTAAGCTAGTAGACATTCAGATTGACTTTCAAAAAATAGTGACTATTACAATACACAAGAAACGACATTATTTGTGTACATACACGAACGCAAGCGCTCAATACAAAACAAGATGGATTCCGAAAGTTGAAATAATAATAGTATCAGAAAGACCAAACCTTAAAGAATAAAGTATACATGGATTGTGACTATGATATGTTCGTGCACAATGTTAATAATTGGCGACTCTAGCTGATGAGTCCCAAGTGGGACGAAATGTGCGCCCTGGATTCCACTGCAAGCCACCATCCATCTCCTTTTAAGAATTACCATTTGTATACTATAAGTCAACGAAAGAAATACTAATAGAAAAGAAGGATCTCTTGAAAGTCACACGATAAAAGTATCATCTTTAGAAGTGAATGCATGATAAAAAAAATTCTTTAAAAAGGAAAATAAGTAACCATGACAAACGGCATTCGATGAAGTCAACTAAGAATACGGCTCGTCGTGAACGACGACAAAACAAAGAGTATTTGAATCTACTCAACTAAAAATAACATTTAGTGTTATAGGGTTAGTGATATTACAAACCAAGATGGAAAATTAAATTTAACTACATGATGCAAAGAGATTGAGGATTTATGGCCTAAATAAACAAACTAGAATATTTTGATGCAGATATTGCACAGAAGGCGTTCAAAAAGTTTTGACTCTAATGTGTGTACACAAGAGAACTAATTTCAGTAAACTATTGATCGTTTATTTCAAACTACTTGTTAATTGGTTATAGAAATTGAGGCAAAAAATAAACTAAAACACTGACAAACGAAATTAACACAAAGGTAATCTAATTGTTGATATTTATTTAGTAATATAAGTGAATTGCACTGAGAAATTTTAAAATTTACATAACAAAAAAATAATAATAATAATAACTACCAAGCTCAGAAATGATGAATGAATAAAAACAATAAAATTTTAGCAATTTATTAGGTAATTAATTTAGCCTATATATTATTATACGGTCATCTTATATCAAACTAATTACAAAGACAAAGAAAGATTGCAAATTGAATAAAGTGTCCTACAAATGATTATTTATGCTAACCTATTTCATAGTGTACAGCGAAAAATACCAATCAGTTTTACATAATGGGAACTAATATTTGCAGACTTACTCAAGTACAAATTTATTACGGAGTTTCCAAGAAATTAGTTAAATTTTTTTGGTACTTATCAAAACTGATACCAGTTAGAGTATAATTACAAGAAATAAGGGGACGGGTACTAGACACTTTGTTTCCTGACAGTATGAGACTTTATCAATGCATGTTATATATCATAAATCGATGGGCAATAAGATTCAAACCTGTTAGCCTGCAGGTAATTTGCTCGCCGTGAGACTTGGTGGTGATGGGTTTCACCTTTGGCATGGTTATGGTTGCACACTGATGAGAAGTTCATAACTAGGACGGAACAGCTCTCTAGTGTTCAGTAGTACATGAAACAATGTCAACTCTTAACGAAAACAACAACACAACATTCAACTGACCAATCTGGTTAATATTCGTACAGTTTTAAAACCGACACCTATTTTTTAATGTTACTATCCCTTATATAATAATAAGTTATATTATATACCCTTATGGGCCAGGGTAATTTCACATTGCTTTTCAGGAGAACCAGACACCGTCCAGACTTTCACTTGACAACCCAAACAGTACAGCTCAACCTCGTTTAACAGGGGAGCCAGACACCGTATAGGCTTTAACGCTACAATCTGAATAGTACAGCTCAAGCCCGTGGCGCCACCACACAGGTACCAAGAACCCTGGTGGACCATTCGCAACATTCATATACACATTCACATCACGTGCATAGTTATTCCGATCAATGATCGCGTGAATCAATTATGCACAGCACGGACAGGCCCAAGTTGACCTATTCCGCTTACACGACAGTCAAACTCATTAATGTTAGCAATGACGATATGCCTTACAATGTCCCAATGACAATGACCCCCGAGAACACTGAAAATCAGCCACCAATATGAATGAAACCGAATAACCAGCAAACCAATTTTGTGCATGAACAGTCAGCGAAACTTGCCAAAGCAATGCTGAACCATCCACAATACCAATGGCAAACCTCCAGCCTCATATGAGACCTTCAGCTTCGCATAGCCATATAGCTTATACAGCATAAGCTATACGACAAAACATGTGTACACAGAGAGCAGTTGATTTTCAAATTTCTAGATGAAAGTTAAGCTTCCAAAACAGCGAATCTGAAAATTCACGTAAAAAACAAAGAGAAAGGGATTTAAGAAAGTGCATATAGTATGACAAAGATTACTTACTGAATCACAGCTGAATTTTGCGATAGTGAATGTAAGATTTCAAATGCTTTTAAATTGTCTAAATAACGCATAGAAAGACCGTTCAAACTAGTTATATAATCATTTGTGCCAAGAACTTGATCACGAGCTACAGCCCCACCACCTAAAACTTGCACGACACGACAACCATCTTGTCCATGACAGGCTAATGCATCTAACTTTAAACCTATAATGAAAAAAAGTAACAACCGAACATATTTCTAAACATTGAAATTTCCAATAAAATAGTATATTGAATAACAGAGTAACGAAATTTTGAATAAAGTAACAAAGATTTGCAATATGTGACAATATGCAGCAGCTCATCATATATTATACATAGTGTTCGCGTGTGAGACTGCAAGTCCTGAGTTCAATGACCGGTGGCGACGTCGTGGATGAACACTCCTACTAAGGATTCCAACACTAGAACGAAACGGTTAATCAGTGTTCCCAGGTTTTCAATAGTTTTCTAATATACATCGGTTTGTGATATCAATAATACCATATGCATTGTTTAAGGATATAGGTTACCCATTAATTTAACGTATACGAAGCTACTGACGTTGACTACGCCACGTTCTCTGGTACATAAGATCATAGATAAGTTAGTCATTGTATGTTTCGACATTAAACTTAAAATGCCTCTTTAAAAAAACTGATAAAACCAAGATATCATGAAACAATTGGACAAACAGGAATGTAGAAGTAATGAAAATCAAACGCCTATTGTCTTAAATCAATAGCCATGGAGAATGAAAAACCAACGATTCCTTGTGGTGACAGTACTAAAATCAAACACATACTGATAAATGAGACGTTCGCGTGTCTTCAATTATATTGGTTTGGTGATAAAGTAATTGAAATCTCTGAAAGACGAGTCATCATTTGTTTACTTAGAGGTTTTGTGAACATTTGTTTAATTTTAAAATGACCTGGCCTATTAAAATCACCAGCAGTGCAGTGGAACTCTTAAACAATAAACGCTCACAACCTGATATAAGATGGAAATAAAGGACTTTTAAGTATCGTAGAGTGTTCGATGAATCTGAACTAGGTAGTCGTAACTCAGCACTTCACATATTCACCTACAATCAATCTACGAAATGGTGTATATTTACTGCTGAATTAAAACGCTGAATGGCATGATTCAAAATCGTTCGAAAGGGCAGAGATTTATTCACTATTTATCTCTTTTATATCTTGAGTTCTAGTAGTCCTTTATGCACACCCTTCCATTTTATCCGTTCGAACTACATTCTTAATGTTCATCCTTTCTCATTATCATTGGTGCCCTGTGGTATGTGCCACTGATGTCAAGCGATATAAGTAGTACGTATCATCAATCGAAAGTGAAATGTTTGCTAGCAGAAGGTTAAGAAGATCAAGGAAAAGAGAACGATAACAGAGAGTGATTGGTGTGGAAACAAAGGAACCGTCAAGTCTGAGACAATTGACTGACATTTTGCAAAAGAAGAATTTGCTGCATAGTTCTTAGATTTTACTAAGAGATTCTGTAATTTTGTTTTCAAATACAGTCGGTTGTCCCCACTGGTGTACTCGTTCACTACAGCACATTATCAAAATCTTCTTTGCTATTCACCTTATTAATTTTTAACTCGTCGTGTTAATGTATGAAAACTTGGGTCAATGTATATTTTGCTAATGACTAAACATTAATTATAACTGACTGACTGTTTCACATCAATGGTGAGTTCAACGATTGATGATTTGTACTATAGACAGTGTCAGCAATTGCAATTGTAGCACCCTAGCACGGATTTTATAAATGATTTGAAGAATCGTTAATTGTTCACTAGAAGTAATGTAGCTAATACATTAGGTATATGTTTACGCACACGGATTTGGGCCACACGTACCTTGTAATCACTACTGATACCACAAGGCTGCAAAACTCAAGTACGCGGAGCTAGACTCAAAACTGTGGATTTTACTTTCACTACACTACTTAGATCTAAAAGCTAACTGACAACTTCTGGCGAACTTAGAAAAACTTACCTATCGGTAAAGATCCACGTTCCAAACGCTCAGATATCTCTAATGTTGGGTCAACTGGAGTGACATATTGTAAATCGGGTGCATGTAGTTGAGGATTTGGACAAAGTAATGGTAGTGTGTAAAAATCTAAAGCCTACAAAAGGTATAGATAGAAATGGCAAAAAGAAAACATAGCAATTTTAATTCATGGTATCAAGAAGGAAATGGCAACGACAACAACATAGCAATATTGAAACACAATCTATACAATACTTCTGATTTGCATTCAATACCATATCAAAGACGAGGCTGTGATATATCCGATGAGCTGGAATCTGATAGAGTTACTAAAACTAATTACCGAATGGATTTATAAAGGATATAAACATTGAATTCCGAAGAAGCAGTGAGCATCGATTCAAATCACTAGGAATGGTAGATCTTCCTCCCTAATTGACTTCATTACAATAACTATGAACTTTCTAAAATTAGGGATTTTCGTCTCATAGAAAGGGCAAATGTTGCACGGATAAGTAGTATTGTTGCGAAAATCAGAAAAGTATGGTGTGCAATGGTGAACACTGAATTATTTTTGGAATTTTGGAAATGGGTTATTTTAGATTCAATGAATTACACAAATAAAACAACTACACGCTGTGTGACAATCCAATCCATACAAAGTGAATAATCTGACTATGGAAAAAAACGATTAAGAGTTAAACAAATAACTAAATTTTCTTGAACAAGAGATTGTCTTCATCAAATGCTAAAAAGGCTAGAAGATTAGGCCACACATTTTACACCAAACAATATTTTAATTAAAGTATCAATTTGCAACGAGAAAATATTATTGTTGATATTCATATATAACTAATTCATGAATAAGCATTGTGAAGAAACCATTTCAGGTTTCATCAAAATACGAAATCATATACAATGACTTCAATAATATTTACATAGTATTCACAATGTTTTAGCAGGTTTTATAAAATTTAGGTTATTAAGTTGACATTAAGGAGGAAGTATAATTTTGCAGTAAGCCTTTATCATCTTATTTGTATGATCTATTTCCTTAGGTCACAAAAATAAAGTCAAGGAAAGTTGTTATCTTTTCACTATTTGTTTACTACAGATTTGACCTTTGTCCTGTTTTTTTCCGGTGTGTTAGCTCGTGTGTTTGTAAGATCAAATAAATTATCAATAATAAACGTCTTTCCGTGACAACTCATGTTTTGGCCTCTGTATATTCTAGATATAACCTTAACAACGCTTAGAGAATAAGACAATAGATAAATACACAATGGAATGGTCAATAGTTTACAAAGTATTCTTTTACGATTATGATTTTGAAATAGAAGTATCATATTTATAGTACAGAGAATTTAAAGTAAATTATCACTGTAGATTATATAAATGGTAATAAAAGTGTGAATAGGAAAGAAAAAAATTATATTTGCTTAGAAAAATATCGTAAGATAGTAAATAAAAATAATAAGATAGGTAATAGGAGAACAATAGTCGACCATCGTGCCTAAACAAAACCACTATAATATCTTAATGAAACCATATATTTAAGTGACTAGATGAAAATATATAAGTTTGTGCAGGAGTTTATAAAATAAGACGAGATAGCAGAAAAATAATTCGGAGAAACACTCAAGAATGATGTTATTAAACTTTTAATTATACACATAGTTATTCTCTGTGTAGCAATTTACAAGGGTTATCACATTTACAAATAAAATAAGCTTTGAGTATTGGCATAAAAAGAGAAGACGGAAGATGGAATGGACCTCAACTGTATTCGTGATCATCAGCTATAGTTTAGAAAAAAGAAATGTCTGGCAGCAGGCATCTATGTGCACTCTTATAACTAAGTACTATAGGTAATAATATAAAACTGATGCGTTCATAAATTGTACACTATTCATTTCAAATAAACGATTGAAACAGATTGGGTGATATTGTGATAATATCTATCCCAGAATGTCAAAAGCATTTGAACTGCATCCATGAGACACTGGACAGTAACTAAGTATCTTTTATTAGAGTATAAAAACTTAAGATGAACTAAAATATGTAAATCAATTACTAAATAAAAAAGGATTGACTGTGGGATTTACAGCATGTGAGTGTTGTGCAAAAAACAAAAATTTACGCTTGATCTTGTATAGAGTATGAAGTGTTGATAAACTAGCAGAAAAACTGATGTTCAAAAGTTTTTCAACCGATGATGAAAATCACTAGTAGGTAGGATGTTATAACTTCGCTACACATACTACTGGATTGGTTAGCTGAGTCACTCGTTATCCACCACATACAAAAATTGTATCTTTCAAGCCAAGTGCATTACATTAACGTATATTTGGTAAATAGATTACATTCAATATTATAATTTTTGAATGCAATAGTGTTATGTAGTATGATTTTATGGACTCATTTTTGGTTGTTAAAATAAAAGGAAAAAATGCTGATCGATAGATGACAATCGAGTGATACAACATCAAGGCATTTTTGTACCATGGATGTTTTAAACTGAATTGTTTAGTAATCACTGAGACGTATATACTGATTGGATTTCTAAGTTCAATTTTCAATCTTATAAAACTGATGGAACACTTTATGAAAGCTTTTCAATCAGATGAGATCAATAGGAATCATTCCTCCTATAATATTATTTCATTATGTTACACTTAAACTATATTTTCCGCTAACTTTTTCTCCGTTACAGGTGAAAAAAGAACTTAGAGGAAGACGAAAAGGAGAATATTGAACATATTCTCTGAAATGAAACAAGAAAGCACAAATATAATAAAGGGTCAACAGAAATTAGTGCAGTCTTAAATTGATAAATATGTTCAGAGAGTGTGTTTGTATAATGGTGTGTCGCCACGATGCAATGTACATACATACACCTTACTCTTTCACATAAACATAATTCAACAGCATTTTAGTGATTACATATATATGCACAAACACATGGTGGCTAAAAACCAATTCATCCATTACCCAAGCATTATATATCGGAAAACTAACATTCTATAAACACAGAAGAAACACAAGTATAACCAAATGAAAGAGGACTGACCACATAAGGATAAATGTTGAGAATAAGGTCAATAATGAAAAATAAAAACAAATTGGAAATAAAACAAAAAATCAGAACATAAAAAAAAATAAATAAATATGGTAGGTATTTAGAAGTCGATTAAAACAGTCGATTTCATAAAGTAATTAATTAAAAATAGCAATAATAAAGGTAATGACTATTATTATCATTTTTATGCAAATCGTAAATACAAGTAAATTTCTTGACACAACGTAAATACTTTAAAAGTTCGATCGTCAAGATATATAATAAATCTAAAAAATACTCCACTGGAAAGTTGATAGTTATGATCAACATTAGTGAAACTTAGAGTTTTAAGGTTTTCTAATTGAAAGAATACAATCTACAAGAACTAAGGTTTCTCTTTTTGCGAAATTCAATCACCATGCACACTACGGCTTTACTAACGGCAGATATTACAAATAGAAACGCGTGGAAATCACGAACTGACTGAAGTTTTAAATGTGGACAGCTGAATGTCAAATGAATGGTATAAAATAAAAAACAGTTACAGCGAAACTTGAAAATTGTGAGTTAGATACCTGGAGACTAATAGTGTGAGTTCCCGATGTATGCCATACTAAAACAAAACAACTACATAAACCGCCAAAGTTTGATTGGTTATTTAGCTAATCAGTACGTTATGAACAGTTTTTCTCAAATTGGACAATTTCCACAAACATTCTTTTCTAATAAACTTATTGTAATCATAAGTGCCGATGAATTATCATTTTATACTGTTTGAACTGCGGACTGTAATGTTACAATGATGTCATGCTCGAGTTTCCCTTATCATGATGGCTCAACCGAACTATAATGGAAGGAACAAATGTTTTTTAGGTCCTACCAGGCCATATAAGGTACTTGTAGAACAGGGCGCCCAAACCAAAGCATGTCGTACGTCCATGATGTCACTGATAATCGGACTTAACCATGCTTATATGAATAAACTACCTGGATGTGGTGTGTATGATTACTGAAGTCAGTGGTTAGATATTTTGAATGACATGGCTTACAGTCGTTCGCAATGGCGCAGGTGGATTCATTCTGTCTTCCTCTAAATTCCGAGTTTCTTAATTCCTCATGACCGTTTCTGTGTGTTTACTTTACTAATTTATATTTTATTTTCGAATTGTATCTTCAATGTCTAATCTTTCCTATTACCACTGATACTGTTACTAATCGACTATTCTGAGATTTAGCCTGATAACTTTATCACTCTATGCTAATAGGGTATGGCAAGTTGAACCGATGTACATACGTACCGGTTCCACGTTGTGACTAACTGGTGGCTGAACTAGTTAATCATTTCTGAAATAAAATGTAGTTTACAACACTAGTACTTCACAATTATAAGCTGACTCGGTACAAAAAATTACAGCGGTAATTCAATACAAAGTATACTCAGAAAAACAACATACCTCTAGGCTTATTGAATGCTTTAAGTTTAGACAGATGAATTTTAGTCCGAATGAACCGTAACTGTGTTTCATTCAATGACTTTTTAATACACCGAATAAACGAATATCAAAAAATGTTCCATAAACAAGTAAATTATAACTTCGCCGGGAGCCGCTAGTAAAACATATGGCAATAAATGTGGGAAAACTGAAGGTGCAGTACAATCGACACTTATGGCAAAATAGCTGAAGGCCAATCGTACCAAATAATAAACTACGGCTCGGAATTTTGTTGTCACTACCATCACAGATGATGGACTGGAAGAGTGGACAAAAGGATATCTAAAAAAACCTAAGTAAGCATCAATTTTATACATCTTGAAAGTTAGAAAAAGAATTTACTCACTCATAAGACTGACATTACGGTTAAAGAACAAATTAACGAATCGTGTGTGGAAAAGAGACCAAAGTACGTTGAAAAGTAACGAACAGTAACACAAGTACAGAAATAAACTTACCAAATCTTCAGTTCCAGTTGCATTGAGACCATTCTGTTAAAATAGAATTGCGAAATAAATTAAAGACTTCATATCACAAGATAAATGTTCATTCATGCTGATAATCACTAATTCATGCATGAAAGCAATATCATAAAAATAGGACAACAAACGATAAATGACTGACCAGAAAACAATTTATGATGCAAAACTTGCACATGATCCTCACATTTTGATCAATAAAGATATTGAAACGAGAGCAAAAAACTAAAAGTTACTCATAGGATAAGATAATATTCATGTGCTTTGTCAATACAAGATGTGAAAAGAAATAAAATAAATGTATTATATATTACAAATTGGATGATTAGTGAGTGAAAACTGATTTATCGCTCGAAACTAATCCCACATAAGCAACCAATAAGAAACAGCGAAATTTCTTAATTGAATTTAAAGATTGTTTTCCTGACGAATTAACACTATCAGGAGAACCAATAGGAAGACAATGAATGTAGAATAGTCGTTTCGATCAACTTCAGGACTCCTCAGCTCACAGGACCGCTGGCTCTGTACAGGATCGAATACTCTGTGTCATCGATTACTTTAGTAAGGAAGATATCATTTAAGAAAGGAATATGGTTTCACACTTTACAACTCCAGTTAATCTACAATATAGCATGTGTCGCTTAACCTCATTTGAGGGTAAGTGTCTCACTCCTTAAATAATTAGTCTCAGCTATTTACTAGAACATGAGAGTATATAATTAAGTTCATCGTTCATGGGGATTTGTCCATGTTAAGTTACGGCATGAGCTCACTCAGTCATTCAGCCATACGCACACTTATATGCTCAAAAAAATTGCAGAATAATTGGAAACAGATAGTAGGTGACATTTATTTCATGGTATTTTGTGGTATTTCAACAGTGATCATACACGACACTACAAATAGGATAAAGCCTACAACTTTCAGGTTTTAGGAGAAGAACTACTTAGTTTATAACCTGAATTCCAATTTTCTAGCTTTTCATCAGCTACTAGATATCAGAACAGTTATGGTGAAAAAACGAGCATTAAAGAGTAACAGTTTAGCTGCTAATAGGGTTTTATTACCTGACTGACGAAAACAAAGCTAAAAATAACATTGTATCTGTTTGAATTATGACAATCTTTTCACATATATATATAACAACCAAAGTCTTGTAAACTTGTGTTGCTAACAGAATTCTATTGTAATGTATGTATGAGTGAACAGAATTAGGAAATAACACACATACACATGTCCATTAGTAACAGCTTCGTCATACATCTACATCATCAGAGCAACCATTCGATGTAACATATCTTTCAACAAAAGAGGGTTATAATGAATAGGTGACAAACTCAAATCAGAGAAAATAAACAACACAGTTTATGCAAAACAACAGAATAACAACATGGTGAACTGACCAATAAGTGAGTATATAGCGAGAAAAAAATCTCTCAGTAACAGTTTAGACATTATTTTTGTCTTTATTCACGATCATGCAGTATATTAATTAAGAAATGCTACAAAACGAAAACATTAAATATTCAAAAAATTCGAAGCATTTGAGAAATATTGAATAAGAAGACATTAATAGAAGTTCTATTACAGGTAAACTGTTAGAAATTAAACTTTAATTTAATAGGAAAATTGATGCACAAAAATATACGCAGCTAATAATGAAATGTGTAGTAACCTGTTAAAAAGCACACAAATACCAACCAGGAATGCTTTACTCGTGAAATATAACACGCCAAGAGATCAGAGACATGATTAACCCGTATTGCTATATCGTGAATATATTTAAAATTTCAAAGAACTAAAGATTTGAGGCACAAAAAATTCATAGTAGAACAATGACATATTGGTTTCCATTCCAAAAATGCACAAGAAAAGCAATAGTAACTGATTGGGTATGAAAGGGAAAAAGTTCGTTATTCAAATACAATATTTCTTGATTTTATTTACATGCAGTATAGTAATGGTGACTAAATTACTAAGATGGACAACGACTACAGACCTTTATATCAAGCTTCTTATGTTTTTCATCTATACGGTTTGTAAGTTGGTTGTCCAGGATAGCATGATTATCATGGCTTCCAGATCGGTATCGGTGACGACTATACTGGTGAGATGTTGAAGAAATATTCAGACGTTTACCAGCAAAACGTGACTGTGAAGCATCTTGATCATGTTCAATAACACAGCAATCCCCTGAATTATGTTTATCAACTGTCTTACCGTTATTACAACTAATACTACTATTACTCGCATGCTCATTGGACCTGGTTGATTTTGGTGATGAATAACAACTATGAATGAAAAGTGACTCGAAGAGTAAATGATTGAACTCATGATGATCAGATTCAATGGATGAAGACATAGTTTTTGGATGGACATAAGGGGAGAGAGAGACCGATGAGCTTGTAGATAAATCGCACTCTGTTTTTACATCCTCTTCTTCATCATTATCGTCAGTGTTATCATTTCCTATGATGATGGCATTATTATTATTATTATTATTATTATTATTATTATTATTATTATTATTATTATTATTATTATTATCCATTTCTCCATTTGAATACAAATTGTCAACATTATTATGACCATTTTCGTCCGAGAGAAGTTGGAATCTATAGTAACTACTCAATTTACTAGATGCAGAACACCATTCGGATTCATTATTTACATCTCCACTCTGACTAATATAAGGTAGTTGGTATCTGTTAAATACTGAAAACTCTCTACGCTTTGAAGTTAATTCAATTGTGGATGCTTTAGTTGGCGTGGAAATATGATGCGGAATAGCAGATGATGTAACAGAAGAATTACATAATCTATCATTATTGGTATTTTGATCTTCCAAGTATTTCAAAGCTTTTAAAATGGATTGAATAACAAGTCGATCGGCTAAATATTGAGTACTACTAGCATTGTTGTCAGTAGTGCAATAACTACTTCTAGAGACCAGTGATGAAGTAGAGTGGTGATCAGTAAGAATTTGATCTACTTTATCAGCACCTAATCTGTTATTATTGCTATCATCAACGTTAACGTTCGAAGATGTTAAGAATCCAGAAATCATAGATTGTGTCCATGACTGACTTGAATCTGCTGTTCCTGCTTTTGTCGATGACGTTGATGAGATGAACCGATTTCGTTCGGTAGTCGAATTTGATCTAATTGAATCCTCCAACACTTCGTAATTAATTAGATCCACTGCTTTTTGAACGATTTCATGCACTAAATGAAGAGGTAACTGGTTGACGTTATTAGTATTTAGACACTTCTGAATATCGTGGATCATATGACTTTGTCCACATTCAGATAATGTACACATATGGTAAGAATGATGACGATGGAAATAGTGTTCATTGGTGTATTTTCCTAACTGCTCAATATAACTATAACTTTTACACTTTTGATGTGTAGAAGAATGATTAGTTTCCAAAAGTAAAGGGTTCAGATGATTAGGTGTTGGTGATCTCGGACCACAAAAAGATTCACTTTGTTGTTGCAACTGATCCAAACTATTTGCAATAAACAACCTTTTATTTATGGAAGGTGTACGATATTTATCATAATTATCATCATTATCGGTAATACTTGCACGTAAAGTAAATACTGAATCGGGTAGAGGCCTTTGTAAAGAAGGACATGAATAAACAGTACGCATTAAACTCCAACTGAAGCTATCAAAGCATGCAGTTACTCCATGCCTTGACTAGATTGACCAAAATAAAAATATATATATATATATATATATATATATATATATATATATATATATATATACGTTAATGTGTGCACAACAACCATAAACACCATTGCATATACCCACGAAGAATGGTCATCGTCGTAAAATTTTATTATTCCAGGAGAGGTGGCGAACAGGAAAGAAAATAAATACAGAAGGTACAATTAGTAATTATACGGTACTCGTGCAAACTTTTCAGTTAACAGTACTTTAATACTACAGCGATCATGTTCGCCTGTTTTGTTTTTCTCTATCAATCGCCAACATGTCACAATGATTATAAACCAAACAGTTAAAGTCGAAAGGTCAAAGGTCAAACAAAGGCTTTACTTTAGTGTAAAAATCACTAGCAGGAAACATTAATACCTGTTTTATGACTTGTCAAATAAAAAAATGAAACTCAGTAAACCATTTACAGAGGTATGTATCATTTCAGAAAAGCACGGCGCACATGCGTTATGGATACAAGCCCACTTTTAGACAGCTAAAAAATCTCACCTTCACCCAGTTGCGTACACAAAAAAGTATACAACTCCCTCCAAACCACTATTGCATTGATCTGTATCTACGATCGACTGGATGCATGCGAAATATTAGGGTATAATACGATACAAGCTACATTAAAAGTTAATTTGCATATAGAACAGTGAATCATACCACGCAGTGTCCTGATCGTAAACAATTTTTATTAGTTGAAATTACCCTTTCAAATCAATCACATCAATTTAAAAGTCTCACCAAATACAGTCCTAGTAACTCAGTTTCCAGTCGAGCTACTTATATGACAGTTAATGATTAAAACAGGCTGCTTAAACCACAATGATTGGAACATAATTCGAAAATAGTCGGAAGTCAACTGTTTCAATCATAAAGCCACGGTTTCACAAATTTTATCACAACCTTCAATATCGTGTATGTATGATGTGGATCTATAAAAGGTATACCTACTGAAAAGGATAAGGAACTCAAAATAACATCGGTACAATTAAGAGCATAGTCATGTGAGTTATGAAGACTTACACCACAAATGCAACGGCTCACTTACATTCACACAATCTATCATCCAATGAATCGTCAATTTTCTTTCCTTACTGATAAATTTACAGTGTCAGTGTTTTTTTGTAATATTTAAATTTCCCATGTATGCCCTTCTGAAACAAACTAAAATCTATCCCAGTAATATGCCGAGTACAATAATAACGATATTTTACAAGAGATAACAATAGTTAATGAACAGTATATTATTTAAACTGCATTTCATTGGATAGCAAAAAAAGTGAACGACTAAGTAAGAGGAAGTTGAATTTTTGATGGAAGGAATATGAGTGACAAATATGGAAAATAACGAAGCATTCAAGATTTAAAGGGTGGAAATTTAGAAGTCATCGGGACACTGGAATAAAAAAAGTTAAGCCTTGAGTAAAGTAGATTAAGAACTATCAAACTTCATTTTAGTTTAGGAAATGTTGATAGAAGATTGTTTATCTCAGCCAACATGATAGTACCAATAGAAATAGAGTAGCGTCTCGTCGTGCAAAATTTACGCCGGAAAAAATTATTTTCCGATAAAATCCCATAAGCTAATCGAAAAACTTGGTTCTCTTACGTGTTATCCTAATACTTTTCGTTCAGCACAGTCTTATAACATACAGGAGCAATTATAAATTTGGGTATCAAACAGAGCTTACATAACATAAACAATAAAAGATATGAGCACAATGAACTTAAAAACACCATTTTATAATATTTACCATAATCGTATTATTATCGTCATTATCGATAGTGCTATCACCAGTGTTTACGTGTAATGGATATGCTAGATCAGACTTAACACTGATCTTTTTCATTTCACCAGTATCTGGAAACATGCCAATCACAGAAGGTCTAGAAGGGACAACAGGGTATGGCAGTAGTAATTGTTGTTGGCTTTTTTCATGAATGTCATCTGTTTCATTTGATTCCAACTGCATTTTTGCAATACCAATTAAACATGGTCCATTAGGAAGGGACTTTAGTGTAGTAGCGGCCTCAAATACACTAGATTTCATTAAGTTTTTATCATTAACAAATAACAGCCTGTCGCCGATTGATATACGTCCATCCAACTGTGCAATACCACCTGGAGTTAAACTGTCAACTAATAAGATACCGTGTGATTTGGAGCGACTAGACCACGTGGATCTTCGTTTCAATCTACTGGAAGATTTGGAATTCTTACCAGGTAACGATGATAATGATGCAATGGTAGAACCGGTAGAATAATAGGAATGAAATGATCGACGATCAGATTCAATCATATTAGAACTCCTTCTATCAAGTGAACAAGCTTTACGGAGTGTATTGCCTTCTAAGTCAGTAACAGGTAGTTCCTATAAAGATGTAGATATAAGAAACAACAATAAGTGTTATTTTCGGACATTATTAGAAATGGATCAAAGAATTAGTAACAATAAAATAACTCATTTACATGAACACACATAGTGGTACAATATAAAAGTATAAATAAACATTTATTTGTGTTCTGACCATCACCTTAAGTTCACCTGGAAATCCTTTACAGTTACTGGTGGTCAGAAGCAAGACTGTGAGAGGGTTAGCAACACCACCTTCAAAAAAACATCGTTAAAAGTGAACCAACCGAACCATCAAAACCCTTCTGTGGGAGTTCAAAGGTCTTCATGTAGAAGAGTTCAAACGAGAATCGCCAAAAGCTACAGGGCAAATACCGCCTCTAACAGCCAGAGCAGCCTGCTTGAATATCTGGGCTACCTGTTTTTGCCATCTGATTATTTCAACAAGTTATCAGTTTTTTATTTGTTTTAATTTATAATTATGTCCATTAATCGCATAACCTATTCAGGCGCTTTTATGAAAAGCCTACGACCTTTCGCTGCACAAGTTAAGAAAAAGTACTATAAAAGGCATCGTGGTGGTTGGCAATATGCGTTAAAGAGAATGAACATTAATCGTATGTCGATTCCCGAGCTTCTTAATTCTAACTGCCGATCATTAATCAACAAAGTGGACTATCTGCAATTCCTGCTTAGTCAAAATACGTATCGTAATTGTGGTGTCATCACAATTCAAGAATCTTGGTTGAATGATTTACACGATGACTGCCTTGTATCACTACATGATTTCAAAATTTATCGTCAGGATCGATCGAACAATAAAAAAAGGTGTGGTGGCGGTGTAGCTACGTTTGTAAACATAAACTGGTGTCAATCTTCGTCTGTGTGTTTTAAGTTTTCAAATGACTTTATCGACTGTCTAACTCTAAGATGTCGTCCAAAACATCTGAATAAATACAAATATGTTTATGTTACCAATATCTACGTGACTCCAGATTGCACATCATCTGCACTATCTGTTTTTGCTGATGAATTCACTGAGTTCGCTGTTACTGCCTTCAGTGATTCACTTTCAGTTGTATGCGGTGATTTCAATTCATGTGACTGTAGCTTCCTTACGTCACTAGGTCACCAAAACGTAGTAGATTTTCCTACTCGTTTGGATGCTCATTTAGACTTCGTTTTCATTAATGATGTGGGTATATATGCGACTCGTAAACGTGCTCCATTGTCTAGCTCAGATCACTGTTTAATTCGTGTTCTACCTAAAGTATATGGAAAGCATGGGAAGAGTACACTCTTACATCAAACCAAGAAAGTCAAATATAGGAATTACTCAGAAGAAAATATCCGAAATCTAAAAAACATGTTTCATACGACTAACTGGGAATTATTTACAGATGACTCACTCGAAAACACTACTGATGTTATCACTTGTTACCTTAAATTCTGTTTTGATATTTGTTGTCCCACTGAAACCATTTTTGTAAGTTTTGATCGACTTACATCTTCACAACTAAAACGACTACGGAGGATTAAAGAAAGAATGTACTAAGAGAAGAACTCAAATGAAGTTCGTAAGCTAAATGGTCTGATAAACCTAGAGATTAGACGTCTCAACTGCATGTTTACTCAAAAACTCTTATCTTGCAAAAACTCTACAAGTATGTGGAAATTCTTTAAAGAACTTACAGGTGACAGAAAGTTTAGAAGCGATAACCAGCTGAATGTTTGTGACTTAAATAAGTCTTTTGTACGTCAGTCATCTGATGTGATGCTCCATCTATCCACGGGTTTAAAAAATAGCTGTGTTCATACGTTCACTGAAACTGATGTACGAGGATGTCTCCAGTCGCTTAATTCATCTCGATGTTTGGGTCCTGATGGTATCCCAAACCTCCTTTTTAAAAAATGTGCTGACGTTCTGTGTCATCCGTTCACAACTATTTTTAACAGATCTTTCTCATCTAATCTCATACCAAAAATGTGGAGAAAGATGAAGATAATTCCTGTACCCAAGAAAGCATCTGGTGATAAGAATGTAAAATTTAGACCTATTGCAATAACTTCACCTTTCCTCAAAACCATGGAAAAATTATTAATACTTCCACTTCAGCCTGCGATAAAAGAGCATACTGACCCATACCAGTTTGCATACAGGCGCAAAAGAAGCACTTTAGATGCTGTTGCAGTTCTGCATCACAACATAGTGTTCAACTTAGAAAAGGGTAAGAACTATGTTCGATGTGCTTTTCTAGACTATACTTCAGCTTTTGACTCTATACCAAGACAACGTTTACTTAACAAGTTAATCAGCGTCAACACTGACAGCTGGATAACCAACTGGCTGTGTTCCTACCTCTCTGGAAGGGAACAGTACACTGTGTTTGGAGGAAAGAGTTCAGATTCTCTACTGTCTCAGGAAGGTGTACCACAAGGAGCTGTTCTTTCACCTCTTTTATTCTCTTTTTTTCTGCATGACCTGCCATCTTCCACAGAAAACACTTTTGTGAAGTACGCGGATGATCTCACTGTATGTATGCCTATATCTTCCTCTTTACATCCCATAGAAATGAATGAGTTTTTGTCTCGTATTGATTGTTGGTCTGTTGGTAATGGTCTCATACTTAATCCATCTAAATGTCAAGCTGTTAACTTTAGTATGAGACATGAACGGAATATAAACACTATTTTGAGATCCCATAGTGCTTGCACCATCGGAGACTCTTTGATAAACGCGGTGTCGAAGGTCAATTATCTTGGTGTCACCTTTTCCTCTGATCTGTCTTGGTCTTCCCACGTTTTATCGTTATCAAAGAAGGTTTTCCGTCTGACCTACTACATAAAGAGATTGCATGCTCTTGGAATTACTCGTCATTTTCTCTTACAATTTGTCAATTCTTGCATATTACCTATTATTCTTTACTGTTCTCCATTATTCTTTCCCGGGCTTTTGAGAAAAGACTTTGCTGTATTGCGAAGAGTGCTAAAGGCAGTTAGTAAGACGTGCGGTGAATCTTTCGAGGTCATAATTAATATGGTTGTGGACAGACATTTAAAATCATGCAAACTCCTGGCAGGTGTTATTTTATCAGATACTAGCCATCCCCTTCACTCTTATCTTTCTCCTTGTATATCTTCTGGTAGAACGAGACGTAATTACATAAAAATCCTTGCACGCAAGGAAAAGTATAAAAGTTCTATTATACCTTACCTAGCAAATATACTCTGTGACGAACAGGTTGTTAGAATTAACTTAGTCAATAACTTACATTCTTAACATGTCTTTAATTTTAAAAGTTTGTAGTTTCTTTTGGTTTTTTTTTTTTAAATTTTTATTTTATATATTTCTTTATATATTCGCTACTTTCTTTTTTGTTCGTTGTTCAGTAAGTAACTTGTTGAAATACCCTGTGCTGAGAATTCTATATTGTACCAAAATATAATATTGAATAAAGCCATTAATAATAATAATAATAATAATAATAATAATAATAATAACAGTAAACACGGAGACACAGGATCTTCGTGCAATATAGGTGACTTATAAGGTCATTCAAATAGGCATATAAAAGACGAGATGCAGCTGCCATCTCCTTGGATTAAGTGAAGCTGACCAAACACAATGTGGACAAAAACGACTAACTTCAGGAAAGAGAGAAAAGCGCTTATACGATAGGCATCTCATGGATCCAGGAACATCAAAACATCCTTAAAAAAAGGGAAAATTCAGTGAAATTTATGCAGTACCATGAGCTCACTAACATTAGTAACGAAGATGATGAACATCAGTTTTATGAGGGGCTGTAGTTTATCGTACATAAAATGACATGACAATCTTGATATGAGACTTGGAATGGACAACACCGTGAATGCAGATATCATGGGACAACATGAACTAAGAAAAATGAATGGAAATGGTGAGAGACCGGTAACTTGGTATGCTTTACACAACACGGCAATACGTGGTAACATTCTCCACAGAAACGCATGCACAGAGCTACATGGCTTTCACATGGTCATACTACGAAAAACCAGATCGACGACATATGCATAAGTAAACGGTTCTGAAGTTCTATGGAAGATATAACAGCAAGGTGAGGAGCGGATGCGTCTTTAGATAACCATCCACGGGTGGAAAAGCTAAAACTGAAGCACCGACGTCAGGCATAGAAGTAACTGCAAACCTGTTACACATCCTATTCAAGAGGATTTAGGAGGATGAACAAGTACCGATAGACTGGAAAGTGGGATACCTCATCAAAGTAACAAAGAAAGGTGACTCAGTAAGTGTGAGAAATACAGAGGTACCACACTACTATCAGTATCAGGAAAAGTTTTCAACAGTGTTGTTGAACCAGACGAAAGATTCAGTGGACGCTCAACTTCGAGAACAACAGGCCGGATTCCGTAAGGATCGATAGTTTACAGACCACATCGCGACACTATTGATCATTGTTGAACAATCAAGTGAATAGAACTGGTTACCATACATCAATCCTCTTAACTATGATAAAGCATTTGATAGTGTGGATAGGAGAATCTTGTGGAAGCTTCTTCGACACTATGGCGTACATGAGATCGTCACCATAATACGGAACTCTTACAAGGGACTAAAATGCAATGTAGAAGGGGACTCAGACACAATTCGGATAAATCTGGATGGTTCGGACTTTGAAAATGACTCATCATTTCTATGAAATACACGGCGACAAATACAGATAAAGACCGCTAGTATAGCAGCCATTTCCCTAGCAGTAGACCTCAAGATTCTGAAATACAGAATAGCCAGCACCAATCAATTCACAATTGTGGGATAAGCTGTAAGTAGACAGCAAGATTGATAAACAAAGGGAATTTGATGCAGATTAAAGGTACGAATCGGTAAAGCAAGGGCAAGATTCCTTCAATTGAAGAATGTTTGAAACCCAAAATATCTACAATCCAACACGAAAAATAGAACTTCCAACACAATCGTTACAAATTCTAGCTAGTGGAGCTGAAACGTGGAGAACTACCACCACCATCACCAAAATAACAAAGATGTTTTGAAACAACTGCAAGCACAAGATGCTTCATATCCGTTAGCCAGACATCATCAGCAACAACTTACTGTGACAGGACAAACCATCTCACAGATGAAGAGAAAATTAGGAACAAACGTTGGAGGTAGATAGGGCGCACACTGCGAAAATCATCAAACTGAATTACGGGGCAAGCCCTAACTTGAAAACCCCAAGGGAAAAGTGCCAGACCAAAATACACATCGTGAATTGAAGGTTGACACCAAAAGAATGAATAGCATTCGGAAGCAACTGGAGATAAGAGTTGGTTGCTAGTTCCTGGTGGGCGGCTTATGCCCGAATAGCGGTGAAAGGCTTAACTAAACAACTAAGTCCTTTATCATCAATTTTCAGTAATCATTAAATATGTATACATGTAAATTTCTGTTCAATAAAACTCACCTCATATTCAGCTATACTAAATCCAAAACCATGAGATGTTTTATTTAGTTGAATAATTAAAGGCACTGAAGACCAACATGGTCGTTTAAAACCGTAACGAGGATCAATACGATTTGGCCGATTATGATGATAATGTGGTAGAGTTTGACAACGGCGATGATCGTGTTGTTCAGTAGATTGTTTTTCCATACACACTTTACCAGATCTTGATATTGGTAAACGCCCTAAAGTCCTAGAATGTATTTGTGTTCCTGACCGCTGTATTGTGCTGGGTAATGAATATTTACGATTGTTTTTCATTGTATTTACTGGATACTGTTGTTGTAATTTACTAGTGTAATTCGGATTTACATAATTATTGAGGGGGTGCTAGAAAATCAATGATTAAAGGAAAGTGTGAATTAATTACTGTAACTAATTTACGAAATGTAGGTATAGATATACGTATTTAGCTTTGGTTTACATTGTATTTAAGTGTTAGGGTCAGTGATACCACCTGGCTTCCAAAACTGAACCTGGTTCAGCAGGGTCAGTGCCTGAGACCTAAGAAAATGTCAATTGCTCTAACTATTCGTTAATCACTTTAATTGAAAAGAAGATACTAAACACATACACCTAATTAGCAAAACATACATAAATGAAATATAAACAATTTTAATCCAATGGTTCAATGGATTTTTCCAGCTTTGGATATACAGATTCATATTGAGAGACACCATTGATATTATTCTTTATGCAAAGAAAACTGTCTCTATTGATCTTCGAAGAATAAAGTTTATCTGGTTTTCCAGTATTACATAGGCACTCGCTACTTTTGCTAAAAAACTAGGCATTAGACTTCAAAATATACCTGTATTATCCGTATGAGAGGGTTAGAAGTAAGACCTAATTATAAATCTAGAAATAAGTATTTGTCTTTGTTGATTTACTGTTAAAAGTCTAAAAATCATAGTACTTTACAACAATATTACAATAAGGAACGACTACAATGATTTGGGAATTATTGATAAATTTTGAACTCTGTAGACTTTAAAATTATATTTGAACTGATTGAGTTTCATTATTTTGCTTGATTTTCCCAACACTTTTGATGTAACTTACACTTTCTGTGCAAAGACTACTGACATACCTAACTATCATATTTGTTAAATATAAATGAAGCCGTTTTAGAGCACACCTGCTTGGAACTGAATGAATTAACCACTAAACCATTTTATGGTCGTAATTATTAATCATGACCTTAAAACGAACGTTGGACAAACCGTAGTGACTGTTATTTCATTTGTAAGGGTTGTTTAAGTTAGAGACCAACAAAAACAGTGGTCATTAATTTCGCCTAGAATATTGACAAATCGCAAAATACAAATGCATTTTCTTCAACAAAAAATAGGTTTATTGTTTTTGACATTTTAATAATTCACAAAGATGAAATTAACAAAGTGAACGAAACACGGGAAATGAGTGAAATCGACGGAAGACCACGACTATGTAACAGACAGAGATTTCGACGGTTTGTAAAATTCAACACGGTCAAATTAAGTATTATGGCCATGAAATAGCTACACTAACAACTACAGTCTCATGTAGTCCATCATTACAGACTTCACTAATGATGCAGTTAGTTTCTTAAAATGGCACTCTTTAAAATTCCTACTACAAGACCAGGTCATATGAAAAGATGTGCAACACAACATCTAGTTTTAACAATATTTACTGGGTGCTGCCACAACAGATTTTTGTGATAGGGCTCAAGTTACAGATTTTTTACACACAAATAACTATGGTTAAGAAAAATAATGGACCGATATTGAAAATAACCAATGGATGATGAACAATTCTGACTGTCAATAACTCCAATCCAACGACAGGTGACTATTTTGCCAATAACAACAGTTATCAAAAAAAAAAAAAAGAATAAAAGCACAGTCAGTCAGTCAGTAACAACGTAGAACTTCGTACGTACGTACATCAGTTCGAGTTGCCACACCACATTAGCACAGAGATGCAGTTGTCGATTCAAATCCCGTAGTGGAAAGGTGGTAAGAGCATAAGCAGTGATCGGAAAGATTAGGGTTTGAAGATGTTATTTAAAGAGTATAATACAGTGAAATAAATTTCGAAAGAGGAAAAAAGGGACATGAAGAATTCAGAAGATTAGAATTTGGGAGAACACAGAGAGTGGATGCACCTGCGCCATTGCAAACGATTTTCAGCCATGTCATTCAGGGTCTCTAACCATCGGTTGCTATCATCTCGCGGTCCCCAACCAGGTAGTCTACACCTACCGACATGACTCAGACCACTTGTCAGTGACTTCATGGACTTGTGCCATGTTTTAGTCTGGCCGCCCCTAGCTTTCTTCCAATCTACTCTTACACCATAAAACATCGCACATCGGGGCAGTCAGTTGTTGTGCATATGTAACAGGTGTCCCAGCCATCTCAACTGATGAAGTTTCACTACTTCATCAATGGATTTGCCATCCTTACCTAGTACCCGTTTCCTAACAACTGCATCCCGTACTCAGTGGTCCCAGAATATACGGGCAATGCTTCGAAGACACCCATGATCAAATACTAGTAACCTACGAATATCCTCTACTCTTACCGGCCATGTTTCACTACCATAAAGTAGGACGGGACGAACTGCTACGCAGTAAACCCGTCCTTTGGTTGATAAACGGATATCTCGCCTACGCTATAAATGACGCAAGTTGGCAAAAGCTAGTCGAGACTTCTGTATCCGTGCTGAGATTTTGTCACACACCAGACCACAAGGGCTGATGAGACTTCCAAGATAAGTGAAGCGGTCGACATGCTCAACTACTCCAATCCCTATCACTAGTTTGGGTGTCGATGTAACCCAATCCTGAAGCAACATTTCGCATTTCGACGGAGAGAATCGCATTCCGAACATGCTTGCATTGTTGCTTAAAGTGGTCAGAAGACTCTGCATTTTGTCAGCGTCTTCACCAAATAAAACTATGTCATCAGCATATTCTAAGTCAACAAGTGAACCACTTGGTAGAAGTTCAACCCCTGGAAATTTAGATGAGGAGAGTGTTATCTCTAAAAGTACGTCGACCACAAAGTTGAACAAGAATTAGTGGGTCGCCATGTTAAATGATGTTTTTCCTTATGCTTAAAGTTAGTATTTGCAAGAAACAGGCGGTTATCTGAGCATAGCTGCAACAGACGGTCGCCATTATCTGTTCTTTGAGCAACGACACCATAAAATCCACTCAGGTGTCTTTCCCTTTCGCTTAGTTTACCTACTTGAGCATTAACGTTACCGACCACTATTAAAACACCAAAGCTTCTAGCTTTTCGGAGAAGGTCTGAAAGCTTTCTGTAAAACTCATCGTTTACATCATCTGAGCTGCAGTCAGTGGGAGAACAGGCAGAGACAACGAAGAGGCAACGACGAGTGTTCCTATCTTTCCGGATTCTTACTGTTCCGTTCAGTCGGACAGCGCACAAACGACTGTTTACTGGGATCCACTCTAAGAGAGCTAGTTCTGCCCTAGGACTCAATGCTATACCTACGCCGGCGAGGCCACGGGAAGCAGAATCAGGGCTTCCAGATACACGAAGCGTAAATCGAGTCGGTTCTTTATTTTGGCATGGTGAGGTCAAATGAATGACGCTACTTGGACCCTGTATGCGCGTTTCGGAGACGCAGCACACATCGATGGCGCGAGATTCTAAAGTCCTAGCTAAGGAAGCCTGCTGTCCTATTTGGCACAGTGTTCGGACGTTAAAAGCTCCTACGTGTAGTTTAGAGCGTGGTTTCAAGAGACTAGGAATAACGATCCGCGTACTCGAATCGTTTGCCCTAACGGTGCGAGGTGATAAAGAGACGTGAGGAGGGTTAGTCATGGAGATAAGAGAGGTATTAGGGGGTGTAGGAAAGATTTGAATGTGACCAACTTGGTCTCGTGTGCTGTTACGGGTATGAGGGTTGATGTCACTTCCTGGCTGCCCACACCGTGGAAGGGTATTTCTTGAGGAACCTGGAAAGGAAATTGGATTAGTGTTGGTCATGACGACCTGGGAGCGTGACCGTAAAGCCCAAGGGACAACTGCTTGAGGCCGGTCGCGCACGGCCTTTTTGTGGAAGGTTTTTGACGTGTTAGCTCCGTTCTTCAAAGGGCCTTACCGCCGGAGACGGAAATCCGTGAGGTAAGGTGAGGTGTGACATTTTTAGGGTCGACCTTTTCAAACTCTACCCCTCCTTGTGGGAAGGCAGCATCGTTGTCATGCTGGTTGTCCGAGGGAAACACCTTACTGCTGTCACACCTCTCTACAGTCAGCAGTACGACTTCGCCTTCGGACCTTGGGTTTGTTGCTTTTAGTCTTACCGCTCTTCAACCGACCTGTCTGACATGGTAGGACCTTGAGGAACGGTTGTTCCAGCCAGTATAGCTCGGTTGCTTCTTCACGATAGGCAAGCCCGACCACCACGTCAAGGTAGCAACAACGGTCGGGAATAAAAGCACAGGAAATTAGTTGTCAGAATCAATGATAATAGACTAGTAATAAAAGGTCTTATAGAAGTAATTATATGAATTTAAATTCAAACGACCAAATAGAAACAGTTGAAACTGAATGTTATGATTAAAGCATAGTGTTATATCCCGATAAGAATAATGAATGGTAATTTTCGGGATCCATTTATGGGCCAATTCTAAACGTATATTTTTATCGTGTAATTGTTATGTAACTAAACTGTTCATATTCATGTCCCTCTTATTATGAGTTTCATTTTGACCTATGAACTATTATTATACGATTCACCATTCTTGAATTATTCCCCGTCTATTAATTACTATCTCCCTCATTCACGGCCGCATTTTGGCTAATTCTTGTATAAATGTTGTTTCACATTTTACAGTACGTTGTGGTCTGTCTGGTTGAGATATAAACCCAGTATGCTTGAAATAAATTATTCATATTGCAGAGGCTGAGATTGGTGTTCTGGATTCAACTGGCTGGACTAGGCGGAAAGCAAGACTAATCAGGACTCTAGGCTGCTCGCACGTGTTTTATGTGTCACTGGCTCGATCGATAATCCACTGCTCCCTAATTGGTGGTATCGTTGCACACAAGTTCACAAGTTATAACACATATACTTTAATCAAAAGCGAGAAAAACATTTTTCAAAAGACTAAATAAGTGTCAGCAGGAGAGAAGGCAATGGCGAAACTAGCTATTCCCTAACATTATGCTTTAAACAGGTGTACAAATCGAATCTATGCGGTTTTCAAGGTATAATAATGCATATAACAAAAAAACACATTTTCTGGGACTCTGCCAATCTTCTACAGGTTAAATATGTATAACTGACAAGTTACAAGTAGTCACGGTTTG